GGTCCACTTTGCATAAATTAGGCATTAAATCGCCTGAAGTATACTAACTCAATCTTTGCTGTATTCCAACGTGCTTATTGAAATTTTTTAACAATATTTCACAACTCTTGATTGTCTTTTCGCGACGTTGCGTTTCTACAATCGCATTGAAAATAATTTTAATCTCAATTACCTTCTCAAACGGCAAATCTATTATGTGCGGAAATAGAATTACAATTTATGCAGAATCACATTTCTTGCCTGAGATTGCGGTCTGCTGTTATATTATACGTATTTCATGTATATAAGCAATGTTATAACTAATACAATAATGTATAAATGTTATACGTGATATAACAATAGATTGCAATCTTAAGCGGAAAATATGATTCTGCGAAAAGCATAATTCTATACATATTCACATTTTTATTTTGCGATATTTATGGTTAATATTATACATCGCCAAAATATATCGTAAAATATTTTGGTTTTACAATAACTCTTGTTGAGTATGCAAGCATAATTCATCTTATTAATCAAATTTCACGTTATTACATATGTATGTTTATCGGAGAAAGAAATATCGCGCAATTCTCACTCACTATTAGTATTTTCTGTGACTTGGATTTCAATTGGATTTGAAATTACACAGTATTAATCAAATTTTAATTAAAAAATGCAGAATCATGCGTTTTTAACACGCGGGAGACGCGTATATAACATTTGATTACTTTGCACAAGAACATATATTAAAGCGGTTACATACGCGTTAGATAAGCGAACGAACTATATTTTATCCCGGCATCGAGCTTTGTTTATTCAGGATTTTCGCGAGACGCGTTTCCTATCCCTAATTCTATATCTTTATATCTTGACACGATTCCCATCCCCCTCGAGGAATTTTTCAGTTTTCCGCCCATCGTCTTGCAAGAGAGTGCTTTTCTCCCCTGCTTCGAAAGTTAAACAAACAGTTTATATGAAGTATCGAGTACGTAGCCAAACACACACTTCCGACGAAGTTCCATTGATGGTATAAGCAATTTGTTTTGTCGAGCGGAACTTGCCGATACCGATATATACGAGCCGAGTTCTCAGCAAAATGCTGCTGCGGCTTGGACATGCTTCTTCCAACAATAAAGTGACCAAAGACGTACAACACGCTGCTGCATTGTAGCGCATTTTCATTCAGATCTACTACAGCGTGGAAACGTGTACCGTGTAGCAGGTGAGGCAATTTAAAGTGTCGCACCGCAGTTATGTGAAAAAATAAATATAATAAACGATAAGCAATCTCTCGTTTACATAAGAAAATCGCTCGTAATTTAGGTATATCGCAAAGTTTGGCGAAATTTATTAAACGATATGAATGTTATCGCGTTAATCTTCCGATCGTATCTTCTTTACTTTCTCACATCGAGAAAGCAACGCTATTTTCTGTATGTGTCGCGAGTACACTAATCGATCGCACATCTCGTGCGAGCACGGGGAGAAAATGCGAGGTGGTAGGAAACGCGTGCGGGCAAATCGTGTTCTGATCGCACGCCGGAAAATAAGATATCTGTTCTGCGTGCATACAAAGGGAACGACACTTTCTATATGCATGGAAAAATGGACGGAATCTTATTTCCATTTCCCAGCGCACCTATCCGCGAGAGATTCACTCGACGGGGAAACGAACCTGGCGCAGATCTCCGTTTCGCGTGCGATCTTAATCAATGTGACACAGATTACATCGACAATCTTTTGACGATTCAGAGAGAGTTCCCTTTCCAAGCCCTACACGATTTTGACGATTGACGATTTATTTCATTCGTGCAGTCTATTCAGATAACATTTAATATTACGCGTTCCTCTGATCTCCAATTAGAATAGAATAATTAAAGACGCGACGGACGAAAGGGTGCTGTTTAATAATTCATGATCGCGTTAAACGGGATGCGGCAAGCATTTTAGGGTAAGATAGCGTTACATACACGCCTCGTCGGTTGGTACAACTCTCGCCCTCATCCGCTTCCCTCTTTCCATTTAGAAAGACGTGTGTTCGCTACGTTTCCTTTCCACCCCATCTTCCCTTGGTCTCGCGGCAATGCCCGAATTTTGAACATTAGTTTGCGAACCATTTAGCACAACTACATACTCTACGACCTCGACTGTCTCTCTCTCTCTCTCTCTTTCTCTTTCACTCTCTATCCGTGTGAAAGCAGTAGTTCGAATCACGCAGCCTCTGCATACATCGTACCCTCCTCCCCCCCCTCTCTCTCGCTTACATATAGATTTAACCGCAACATTCTCACTACCGACACGGCATAGTCATTGTGCATTAAGCCTGGCGATGCGTCCCCCTTCCCACCATTCCTTTCCCGACGGATCCGACAGCTTCAGGGGAGTAATTCCACCAAGAAATTAGACTTTCTTGCAACTCGCGAGATCAGCTCGAATCCTAATGCGGGACACGCGGCAATAGATATACCCTCGGAAAATTTTTAAACTTGCATCTTGTGAACACATTTATACACAAAAAAAATCTTCGTGCAGAAACGGTCGTACTTTTACCCTTCACTATAAGAGCAAAATAATATATAATGTGATAGTACAATTGGTCACTTTACGATTAATTAAGAATAATGATTTAATTGTATTTCTTGCTATACATTGTTAAATCTACAGTTATATTGTATTGTTTTTAGTTAAAAATAATATAATATTTATTAAATAAAAGCCGCGGCGACTTAAATAAGGTTAAACTTGATAGATTTAACAGTGTATGCTGAATATAATTACAAAATCATTAAAGTTTAATTATCCAATAAAGCGGATGTGAGCGATTCACTCCAATCTGTAACTTTCGGTTTTGTTTTGTACGTCAAAAAAGATGTAAAGTACGTGAATGATTTCAATTGTCTTCGAAGTCTCTCCAAGGAAGCCCCGTTAAGTTTGCCGCGCACACAAATCAATTACGCCAGGCGCTTCCTTTTCATTATCTTCCGCTTTTTTCAAGCCCGTTAAGTCGTTTATAATGCCTACGTAGCGGTCGTTTTACGCAACACTAAATCTAAATTTGCTTTTCTTAAAGGACGATTACTTTAGAATACAGCGATAACAAAATTTGCGCCCGGAATTTTCCGATAACGAAATCAAATAAATTTCTGAAGTAATGAAAAAAATGTTTAACTATAAAATCAGACCGTTCTGTCTAAAAAATCCAATTGGATGTATTATTTGCGGCGAAATGTGTGTGTGTGTGTACAACACAAAAAATATTTAACTTGGCGAAATAACAGGATCATCCAATAATTGTCCTTAATCGTTCGCTTGATAGTACGATGGTCTATAACACAGTTACACTGAAGTCTCTTGAAATATTAGCGAAATCTAGTTGTAACAGTTACGTGTCGTCTAACTCGCCCTCGACAAGTACAAGGATCGGCGAATTCAATTAGGTGCCAAGCGCGCAAAGTTGATTCTCGATGAAAACGACAATCGCCGGAAGGATCCTCCTCTCTCTACGAAGAGGCAGCTCCGGTTGCGGATCGCGACGGCGACTCGCGCCGCGTTTTTAGTTAAGTATCTTCGCCGAGAAGTTTACACGCGATCGCGCGCAATTTCGAGACTTCGTTACCGAACTTGAACCTGCACGCGTGCTTGATTTGATCCCGCGTACAATTCCTCGGGTCTCTCGTTCGAGAAGCCGCGTCCGGCATCCGCGGCTTCCGAAGCTCTCCGGGGTACCGGCAAATTAATCTGGAGTCGAAGTTCGGCAGTTTACCCGGCTGCAAGACTCTCGTCCCTTTTCCCATCCCCCATTCCTCTCCGCGATCGCGCGGTTTTGTCTTACGGAACGCGATATTATACTTGTGAAAACAAGTAATGATGGAAGAGAGTGATCCGATTGGCGCGAAGCGACGTGATGCGTCGTTTCCCGATCAAGGTTTGTGTTAAATAAAATTATACCGAGATATTTCTATCAAGTTTTTTTAAAGGGAATTTAAAGGGAAAAAAGTTCCCTCTCCGTTCAAAGGCAGAATAAAATGCAAATCAAAGACATCAACGAACGTTTTGAAGTTATTTCGAAATCGCGTGCAACATTTAATTTTCACACACAGCTCGATAAATTTTCTATACCAACCTAACATATGCAATTAAATTAATATGGAATATTATAATTTTTTAAACAAATTAGTAAGACTTGTGCTATAATCATCGTAAAAGATACATAAAAATCCTACTGTATTTATTAGAACAGAATAGATATATTATTAAAAATTGATTTTCACTGACTGCGTTTTCGTTCCGAATTGAAACGTCACGGCCGCAGCAAATGTCGAATACGCAAAAATCCTCGTCGCGCCTGATTTTCGAATTTTTTTTCAATATATTCCAACTATGATTCAAATTCACGAATATTTTCTAATGCAATAGTAGCACAACAAAGTCGAGTAAAACATTGTAGATCTGTATCAAACTAAAATTGATTCGTCAATAATCGATCATAGTGTAATCAACGTTAAACGTGGTGGTTCGATCACTTGATGTTCGATCATCAAGTGATAAGCGTCAAACTTTATGCCGACGCCTCGATGTTTCGAAAATAGCGATGCACGCAATCAATCTGATCGACAGATTTTCGCGTGGCGAAATCAAAATAACGATGTTCATGAAAAATGATATTCAATGCATTTTACTAGCTTTCTGAAATCACGTAGCATTTACAGCATCTCGTCGGAAGATCGTTCCTTTATTACGTTAACCTCCGCACGGTTTCGAAAATGGCGCCCGCTTTTCTCGCCGGCCGTTTCTTCGTCGAGGAGAAACTTGTACAAATTATAAATATGTAGATGAACTTAAAATGACGTTACTGAAAACTTCGCGGTCGTCAGAGATTGAAGAGCGACGCGTTCCCCCCGACGAAACGTTCAGGAATACGTAATCCCGGACCGAATCTGTTGGCGCGGACGTGCGGCGCGAAGTAGAAAAACGCGAGGGCTTGAAAACTGTTGAAAAAAATTCCAAGTGAGACTTACCGCGGGCACACGCGCGACGAGGTTCAACAGCGCAGCGGGTCGGTCCTCGAGGGCATAACTGTTGCTTCCCGCGGGTAGATATCGGGCGTCGAATGGAACAATGGAATACAACGCTCTGCCGCCGCTCGCTCGCGCGTTCCGCTCCGTACCGGCGGATAGACGGTGCGCGACTGTGCGTCCGCCGCTCTCACGATCTCCCTTTTATAGGGCCGTCGCCCGCGCGTCCACTCAAACGTCGACACTCGCTACTTGATGGCTAACGTCACTCCGATGCCACGACCGACCTGTGCGCGCGTTTTTTAGATTAGTACAACAAACTCTCAGATCAGCGGAATACATAAAATAATGTCTTCTTAAATATATAATAGTAATATAAAATAGCAATTATAATCAAATCAAAGTTTTGTTTTCCGATATTTTCAAAGAATTTAAATATTATTTTAAAAGTGCGCAACAAAAACTGTAGTATAATAAAACAAAGATATTAACAGAATTGTGATTGATATTACAAATAAATTGATTAATTGTAAAATCATATTATTTTAAAACATATAAGTTTACTTTACGTTTAAATGTTTACTTTAATCGATCCAATATCTGTATGGCTTTAGAACAGAGAGAATTCTATTTGTACAATTTCATATGCTATATATTGATTTTGGTTTTTAAAAGTTTTTCGTATTAAACGGCATATAAAATTACAAATAGAATTTTATTCTAAATTTTGAATTTTATTTTAAATTTTAAAATAGGTTTTATTTTGTTGTAGACTTAATCAGTTAATAATTGATCTTTGAAATATTCTCCCAATTAAATTTATATTAAAAATATATATGAATTTATATAAATCTATTTTTTGAAATATATATTTTTTCCACAAAAAATTATAAATGCAAAGATTACGCTTAAATAAAAATTACTGTTGTAATAACGTAAAAATTTCATGTTAATTTCGTGTTAATATAAACTTTCGTTTTAAAATTATACGACCAAAAAATTAAATAAATCACAAAAATTATGTTTACAGCATATTACGTTAGCGTAATTATATTATTAATAATGCAAACGCATGATGTAGCCATTTAAAGTTAAAAGCAAAATTACGAGATGTGAAAACAATTTATTATTCATTCTTATTTATTAAAATTCATTCTTACTAAAATTTATTAGAATAAAAATATTATAAAATACAATGCGTACAGAGTACGTGTCCTTAAGGTAATTTCCTCTTGGTAGGTTCCTCGTGTACTCTAACGGGTAACGTGGAACGTGGACCACACTTCCATACGTTGCCGTCCTTGTCAAGTATACTCGCGCTCGCTGTGATTTGATATTGACCACCGCTACCCGGGACAATGTTTGCACCAACCGTACATGGGGGCATAATCGTAGATCCAGGTATTCCCAAAGACAGTAAAAATTCACAAGCGAAGAAATCTCGGTGAGGTGTTACAGTCTGTTGCAATTCATTCATATTGGAATCCTGTAAGCAAATATGTACCATTTATAATTAATTATTAATATAGTTTCACGAATGAATATTTTAGTTTTTACTTTAATAAACATGCAGACTAATATGGACTTTTAATTTTTGATAATTAATGCGATCGTTTTAGACGCTTTATTTACCTTTTGATCAGAATTTATTTTCGAAGGTGGCGTCGTTGAAATGGAAATGCACACGGCAGCGACGGAACGGAAAAGAGATGCCCATCGACCGTGTCGCAATACTCCTTCGACTTTGAGCGCCAGTTGACTGCCTTGCGGCACAGACACGGGCTCACCGAGAACACGCGGTTGAGGTGACACCGATAGTTTAATGCTAGTAGTTTGCAGAGTTTGGAAGAAGTACCGTGGAATCGGCAATCTCATGGTTCCTCCAGCGAGCAGCGTCACTTGCGACATCAAGCAACTAACTCTAGGATGGCTAATTGCTACGGTCTTGCCTTCGCTGCCCATCCAGGATGGAGCTAAACGGCGCAGCTCGGCGCAACAGCGAGCCAATTGTCGCATCTCCACGGAGTCGCCGAAATGGAAATTCACGGGATCGTTCTGCTGCTGATACATTGGGATACCAGGCTCCCCGCAAACTCGTTCCACGCTGTTTGCGAGCAACCGACAGATTTCTTGTAATCTGCACGACATGAATCAAGGTAAATAGCCAAGAGAGCGTTCTTAAATAAATAATAGTGAAATAAAAATTGCTCTAGTGAAAGGATACGCCCGAATATTCGCCAACGATTCCGGATCAGCATCGAAGGCTGATTGATATAGCTTCTGATAGTTTTCCGCACAGTTTTTCAAATCTTGCGCTGATTTTCTTAACTGTAAAGTAAATTTATAATATACATCGTAACAGTATACGTATAGCTGTAAATATTATAATTAAAACACTGAAATTATAATTATACCTGATGCGTAACGCGTCCATATCTCTGGAGATCGTCTTTCGTCGCAATGACGACTGTAACAGCTATAGCGGGTGGTGGTGCGGTACATAAAGATCTAAAAATATAGATTTTGATTTTCTGCGACCTTTTTTCTTGATTACATTTGACTATACATTTACTCACATGCACGAATGTAATAATTGTGCTATGGATTGCAGGAATTCGCAACGTAATTTCGAATATTCGCTTGGAAATTGTAAACTTCGTAACGGAGTGCTAGCGGCTTTGAGGGATGCGCAAGCGCTTGCATAACGCGCTATCGCGCCATTCAGTTTTTCCACAATCTCGGCTTTACTCACATTTTCTTTGCCTTCCGTCTTATTCCTTTATGCATATATTATTACGTTAAAAGCAAATTAGAGAAGAATACTTAAAATGATGTATTATGGTCCTGAATGCGGCTAAAACGGAGAATACGTACGTGAGACAGCATTCTGCTTTTGTAACTAATTCTAAACCGGACAGCCAAAAATGTAGCTGCTCCGATGCTACAGTTTCTTTAAGACCTTTAAATATTTCAGTGGCAATTGTATGATGGCCGTATCTCGCGGCGCTGCGCGCAATGCGATATTTCGCCCAACCGTCCACGTTTCTCACGATGTTTTCTACCGCCTCTAAACATTCCGAATTCCATTCGTATCCTCCAGCCACCATTTGGAATAGTAATGTACAAAGCATTACCTTTTCAGATCAGAATAGAATCTCATGAAAATATCTATTTATTTTTCTAGGAGAAGCTAAATTCTCCTAGATAAAGGAAACAATTCTTGTTATATATTATAATCTTACCTTCGTATGTACATGAGATGTCTGTTTAAGCTTGATCAAAATGTCCGGTAAAAGCGGAAGCAACGTATTCTCTTCTAAACTACCAATAGCGCCCAAGGCTTCGCACAGTGCGACCGTTTGCTTCTCATTCTGACCGTTTTCTGCACTAGCGTTGACAAGAGTAGAACCAATAGCATCGACAAATATAGCGCAATGACTAGGCTGCGACTGACATAGTTTCACCGTCGAACGTAGGCACGCCTTCAACTGATGCAAATGTTTGTCGTCCAAAACTAGTAATGCGATCAGAGATTCGAGACAGGAAATTACGTCTTGTATACCATAAGCGGGCAATCCTTCTTGATAACTGTTAACAAAATAATCCATAATTAATTCCTGTATTATATCTAAGAGGAGACTTTACGTACCAATAACAGGCAACTCTAGAAAGTATAGTAATGGCTTTTACTGCGACAAATGGATCGGGCGAATAACACGCATTTAAACACAATTGCAATAAGGGACTGTTTTCTTCCATGTTTGCATCGCACGTTGCAGCATTTTGGCTGAGTACCTGCATTTCAATAAGTATTCACGTAAATATGCATTATAAAAAAAAATTTCTTAACACTAAAAGCCACATCGATGTAACTGACCTCGATTACAGCTAAAGTGCGGATGAGAAGATCCGTATTTCCCGCACCGTCTTGCAAAAGCGTTGTAGTGCTCTCTAAATTAAGAAATCTTATTAGACACCGATTATATCGCTCATACACATTATTAAATGATATCACAAAGCGTATACCAATTAAATTATTAAGGGCCCCCTGCGGCCAGAGATGTGCCCCTCTTCTAGCTAAACTGTGCAAAAGATGCAAGGCGTGACGTTTAACGGACAGTCTCGGGTCGTCTTGCAAATAGCGTAATAATAATGCAACCTGTTGTGGCACGTCTATTAATGTCGCAGAAGCCAGGGTGCTTAGTGCACTTAGAGTGACTCTGACAAATTCTGCTGCCGGATAACTCGCGAGAAGCTCCATACACAATTCATTTACCTTTAATAAAATAATCATATATATATATATATACATATTTCTTTTAAAATCTGTAAAATGTAAATTATATCTAAGTGCACAAAATATTATATACCATTGACGCTGTAAAAGTATCGTGATGCATGTACTGTAGAATCGGTATAAGCTGCAACTTCATCGAGGCGGGGGTGGCTTGTCCTCTAATCATATCAGAGATCTTACTGCACATGGATACAGCAAACAATTTGGACTGTGCCGCAAACATTTGAGCTGCGTATATTGCAGCTTCTACCTCAACCGAATCGTGAGAGTCCAAAGATCTCCTTATACTGTGGTGTACCTTTTTGCATAATAACAGTCGACAATTTTATCATTTTTGTACAGCTAGAAATTTTCTCAATTTTTTTTTTACCAAACAGCTAAATGTATTACTTGCTGCCTCTCGGGAATGATGCCGGCTACGCTGCCCAATGTGCGCAGGGTGAGAGCCCTGGCGACTGGATCGTTTGAATGTATAACGCTGTAAATACGTCTCACAAACTCATCTACATTCAAGATCTTGTCAAGATGTTTCTCACTCTGCTGGCACACTCTCAGAACCCACACTCGCAGGAAGTTACTTCCAGTGCGAAATACCTCGGCCAATTTCAACAGGGACGAGTTTATCAATATTGGGAAGGGATACTTTTCGAACAGTCGAGGAAAACGTACTATGGCTTCGCATTGTTCTCCAGTCTTGGTGGAACGCAAACCTGAAATCACATGCGTTTGAAATTGAAATGAATTTTTAGGCTGTAAGCGAACTATATATATATGCGTTAGCGATGTTTGTTAATATTCTTTTGGACATTTGCGTTTGTATATATTCAAATGTTGTAGACAGGTTAGAAAAATCAATGGTGCAAAAACGAACCTTTGTCAAGTTCTATGAGGGCCGTGTTCGCATCTTGCTCCGGCTCCCCAAGTCCACTATCGTTAAACGCATTCATTCGCATCCCAATCATATTTTTCACGACGTTAAATTAAATGCGAAATATTTAAAGAGCCGTATCGTCATTTATAATGCCTCCCTAGTCCCTAGTTGCGCATAACCTATTTGAAACGTCAATCATTTTTAATCGGATTACAGGAGGAGGAAACCTAAGCTCTCCCAAATGATTCTACATAAGAAATAATTGTCGACTGCCTAATTATTCAATGAATTGTTTATTATGCTCGTAAATATTCATTAAAAATCTCGTTTCACTCGTTCAACTGGTTCGCGGTAGTTTCGCGACTTCGCCGCTCTCACTTCTCAGACTAGGTTACCTTAACCTATCAGTCGCTCTAGAATTTTATGTCTCGCGTTTCGCGAATTTTCAAATTTGCGTTCAACAATTCCTAATATATTTTTTTCATTTTATTAAAGAATTTAATGTTTATAGAGGTTATTTTTTAGTAGAATTTTTCAATCATTAGTACCTGAGTCCTGAACTTGTACTTTTCATCCCTTCTCTCTTTCTCTCCAACCTTTTTAATAGCATACCCATTTCATTTCAAGTGTAAAAAGTGTGAAAAAGAAAGCTGCAATTTGTGACATACGAACGTCCGATAAATTATCGACTGTCGACTGACTCGAACTCTCTCGATAACTCGAACGGTCGATAACTGAGTACTCCTAACCTACCATCTTTCGCGGTCTCCCTTATCGGCCAAGAGTTCGAGTCAGTCGGCGATCAACAGATCGTGGCTATTGTGGAGAGTGTGGAGTCAGAGCGATCCGGGCTACGATCAGCCAGCGAGGCGGAAGCAGACGGAAGGGAGAGCGGCATTCGCGGCAATTCGCGGTTTCCGTGCGCGATACAGCCAGCTATACACAGTGCACCTCGCTGTGGAAGGGGAGGAAGGAAGGACAAGGAAGGTGTCGTCCGAGACGGACTTCTCGCGTAGAGGCAGACGGATTCCTCATTGACGGCAGGTTTATCCGAGCGCGACGATGGTGGATTACAGCAAATGGAAGAATATCGAGGTAAGAATAATATCAGTCCTTTTCCCCGGGTCCAGCGATCCAGTGGAAGGTTCTCGACGAGACCGAATCTCGCCGGCCGCGCGTGACACTTTTGCGCCGAAGATAGTTGTGTGACACGTTACCGAAATGTCAACTGCTTAGAGTTTCGATTCGACTCGATTTACAGTGCGGTTTGTGTGTCGTGGGTATAGGATAGAGACTGCTATTAGCCTCCGTACTGCGAAGTATCACGAGTTATCCAAGCTTCTTAGAAGTTTAACAGATCTTTTCATAAATTTTCTAATTTTAGTGCATGATTATCTCATTAATTTTCTGAGAGAGGCTAATTTATACTTTTGATCAAACAATCATGCATCGAATGGCAACAACGTTTGTGCATTTAGATTTTACACATTCAAATGTACTCGTATTGATAAATTTTTTGCTACTCTCGTTACTAGATTTCAGATGACGAAGATGATACACATCCAAACATTGATACACCATCCTTATTCAGATGGCGACATCAAGCTCGAGTGGAAAGAATGGAAGAGCGCAAGAAAGAGCAGGAGGAGCACAACAGGAAGAAAGCAGAGTATGAGCAGAAATTTATAAAATAATATCTCTTCTCTGTGTAAAATTATGTTAATTTCTGTTATAACATCCGTTATTTTAGAACGTTGCAAAAACTCAAGGACACAAAGGAGAAATTAGCGAAATTAGAAAATGAAAACAATGATTCGGCTGACTTAACCGCATTGAAAAAAGTTATTCAGGACCTCGAGGAGGAAGAGAAAAAGATCAAGGATAAGGAGGAAGAAATGGTAAAGAAGGAAAGATTGACACCATGGAACGTAGATACCATCGGGCAGGATGGTTTTACGAAAACTGTGATAAATACGAAGCCTGTGAGGAGGAACGACGATGCGGGTTTGTCCGACGAGGAAAAGGAGAAGCGAATGAAGCAATTCGTTAAGGATCACGAGAAGGAACTCAAAGAGTTTGGCATGCTAAGAAAATACGATGACAGCAAGAAATTTTTGCAGGATCATACATATTTAGTTTGCGAGAATACGGCAAACTATTTGGTCATCTGGTGCATCAACTTGGAAATAGAAGAGGTAAGTTTGACATACGACTGTTTCGTCATTAAACTACAGTGTACCTCGACAGGTACCTTTAAGGATTGACATCTGTAATTAATTCTGCATTCATTATGTATCTTCAGAAACATAATCTGATGGAGCACGTTGCGCATCAATGCATATGTATGCAATACATATTGGAGCTATCCAAGCAATTGGACGTTGACCCGCGAGCGTGTGTCGGCTCCTTTTTCAGTCGCATTCAAATCGCCGAAGTAGAATACAAGAAATCCTTCGATGAGGAACTTCGAGCGTTTAAGGACAGAATACGCAAGAGAGCAGCGGAGAAGGTGGCTGATGCGGTTAGAGAGGCCGAGGAGGAGGAAAAGGAAGCTCGTTTGGGCCCCGGTGGACTCGATCCGGTCGAAGTGTTCGAAAGTCTTCCAGAGGTAAAAATGAAAATTTGCCTTGGCATACAAGAGTCGAACGCTACGAAATTTTTTTCCTAATCCTTCATATTTCGCTTTTAGCCTTTGCAAAAATGTTTCGAGATGCAAGATATTCCCTTGTTGCAACAAACAATAGCCTCGATGCCAGAGGAAGAGGCGACATATCACATGAGACGTTGCATCGACAGTGGTCTGTGGGTCCCCGACGCGAAAAACAAGGAGAAGGAGAAAGAGAACAAGGAGACAGAGGAACAGCAAAATGCCGCGGGAGAGACGCCAGATCCAGAATAACGCATTTAAGTTGCATCCTATATTATCGATACTCAATGAAAATCAGTATCTCATTTACACATTTATTCTTTACACAACGGCTACATTAACAATAAAGTTGTCATCCTCCTTGAACTCTGGCAATATACGATTATTATCTCCATCAGCTTTTTCTTTCGTCACCGCGATATTCGTCGTCGCGCGTTGGCTATCAAATTCAGCTGAATTAGTTCATAAGACTGAGTTGTCGTTTCGTAAATAGAAAACTTTGCATACGCATGTAATATGTAACGATTACCAAGTAGCGGTTACAAGACTAGTGTGTCGAAGTGCTATATAACCTCACTTTTGTGTATGATTTGTGTTACTACTGAAATTGCCTTTCTATGTAATGTGTATATGTACATATATATATTGTTAATCCGATTGCAGTCCACAATTATTTCACGATATTTTACGTACCCTCCCGTAACACTAGTATTGTATACCAATCGGGAACAATATTGTCATGTAAATAAAACCAATAATATATCTAATTGTAAATTGTTTATACCGTTGATGATTGTAGAATCACAAGATATATAATTTATGTTTTGAAAACTTTTAACTCTCGACTTAATAATTTATCTCTATTTCTGTATATGTGATTAGGTCAGGCGAGTCAATTTGTTCGTTTTTTCTCAATGTTTTAAAGCACTATTTTTATTGTTTTTTCCTTTTCTATGATAAAGAACAAATTATAATAGTCCGTTTAAATCGACTGATTTGGCTAACGATAAACGTTACATGATTTACATAAAGCATCCTTTTCCGAATTTGTTACGTCGTTAAAATTATTGCGAACGTTATTATTGCTACACGTATTACAATCTGCTATTATATATGAACCAATGTTTTGTATTAATAATGTTGCTAATCAATTATATATTTCTTTCAGGTCGAGTGACAGTACCTGTATACGAAAGCAATTCATCCTTCGCGCAGAACACGTTTTAAAAAAGACCGCCATGAAACTCGTCCGGACGGGTGGCGCTGACTGAAATCTCGATCGAGTTGAGTCAGCATACATATACCGGAAGCACGGGCCTCTCTCTTCCCTTTCCGGCGCGACGTTGTCACGGACGTGTAGGTAATATTTTTCTTCTTTCATTCTCACCATGATACGACAATCACATCGACTGCTAGACGGCTGCGCTGGCTTTCCATCGGGACGGGCGTGGCGTGCCGCTCAGTCGGCGTCGTTTTCGCGACGTCGTGACACGCAGTTCGCTCGGAAATCCCTCCGAGACGGCGGCGCCCGTCCATCCGTCTGTTCCCGATCGCACGGCCAATGGCCATATCCCGCCCGATGGAAAGCCAGCAGCCCGCCGTGCTCCGCTCTCTCCGATCATCCTCGGCTTGCCTACTTTGCATGGCGACGTCGGCCAACTTGACGTTCTAGAGCCGGTCCATTTCCATCCATTCACGACTCACTGGTTAGTGTGAACTACTCCTCTATCTGCTTTTAAGCGAGAAAATGTGTGCTAGAGCCAAGCGCGAGTTCCTGAGCCCTCGAAAAAATTCGTTGTTTCACGTCGTATGGTATGTATGAATTTGACATTGTGATCGCGCGCGCGATCGAGCTCCGCGTTTTCTCTCGTTTCCGTGTCGTTTTCTAAAATTCGTCGGATATAGCCTTCCCCTCCGCTCCGATTTGGCTAGCGAAATTTTCTCGCCACCGACGTGGCGATCGTTTACGCGATTTTCCCCTGCTTCAAAACTATCGAATTTTCCTCGTTTTCGCGGAGAAAAAGTATCTCTGTAACTTCTACGATTCTTTCTCGCTCGTCAAAACGAAATCGCTTCGCCGTTTTAATCGCCATATTGCCTTTCGCGAGACTTGTACGCGTTACGTAATTTTTCCTTAATTAAAAACGACCATTTCGATCGTTAAAACCGCCTCGAGACCGCTTCTGTTTGGGAGATACGCGAAAATTTGCGGGAGCGCATGGCATTTTCGTGTAGGTTTCTCGCGCCATTTTCGGCAGCTGCTAACGATCGCGCAAAATAGAGCTCGACGGCAAGTTGATCAGGAAAGGCGACGCGACGCCACGCATTCTGGGTAAAATCGTTGTTTGCTCAATATGGCCGTTCGACGAGCTCGATCAATTTCCGTCTTGTGTGACTCGCGTCTGACGTTCCGCATCGCTCGACCTACGCGAGACAGTCGGTTCCCTTCGAATTCACGCGAGAAAAATCGCGCGACAAATTTTGCCGGATTCGCCGATTCGCCATTCTGTCGCGAAATTTGTTCATCGCGTAAATTTTTCACGCGAGACGCTCGCGTGAGAAATTACGTTTCCTTTAACGGACGCTTTTCCGGTGTGCGTGCGCGCGCGCGCACACCGTGCGCAGATTGCGCAGCCTGCGGTAATGCGATGCGCGCGTCCTCTCGTCCTCCCTTTCCTCTCGGTCTCCCGGCCAATCCGCTGCCGCGTCTCGACGGCTTCTCGCTTTGGCAGCTCGAGATTGGCGGAGAAGAGAGGCGAAGGTAAAGGTCGAGATGGCGCGCGCGTTGCATGACGGGTGACCCGCGAGTGGGGAGGGCGAAGAAGCAGGTCTCGTTCACAAAATGGCGGTATCCCTTACGAGTCCGTGACCATATAGCGCGCGATACCCCGATAGTTTCTCGTGATGTCGGGTCCCGCGGCGCCAAACGCGGTCTGATATCGCGAGCACGTGTACGCGTGACAGTGCTGCAGTGAGGGATAGGGACGATTTCGCGGGACGCGCGTCGGTGATAACGTTGGTGGGTCCACGGTGCGACGCGTAGACGGAGCCATGCAGGTGAGTGCCTATCTCGGAACACCCCCGGGATCCGAGCGCGATTTCACCCCCGTACACGCGGATCCCCGCGACAATCTCCCCCGTAGACGATCCGCGGATGCGTCCGATGCGATTTTATGCGTGCGCGCGAGTCGTTCGTCGCGGCCACGGTGTTGTTTGGAATAGGGGAAAATCGCGTGTCCACATGCGTTTCCGTGTGTCGACGTTCGACGAGAACCCCGTGAAAACGCGAAAAAACCCCCGATGCCCGTCCACGAGGGGTTCCTACGCGTAGGGCGGGGTCCCCCGGACCGTCCGGGCTCAGGAACTTGTGCCACCCTCGCCACGATTTTTCGCAACTTTATCACACTCTCCCAGCTCCTCAATAACCTATAAGGTTTGTTTACATCGCGTCAACCTGACATTTTTCACAGAAAACATCGTTGTACCATCCTAATTTTCGTCGCAAACGGTTCCTCACACTTTCCTTCGGCCTGGCTTCATGGTTATTCGAAAATTGAAAATGTACCCATTTTCGCAAATTGAGCTCAAATATTGTCGTGCACAGTCCTGCCGGCTGATCAGGAATGTGTGACACAATTCTCATGGCCAATACCCGCGATTTCGACACATTTCCATCGGGATAACGCCAAAAATATTCTACCTTTTCAACCTTTGAATGTTCTTTGCAAAAATTTTCGTAGGAAATCCACAATTTTGGCATATTATGAACCGAATTGGGCTTATCAAGGAGCTTCATAACGTTTATCTGTACCGTAAAACTTCATTTATGCCATTTGGAATCTTGTTAAATACAGATTTCTTTTGCATCTGTTTCATAAGAATGAGAATCATAACCACAAAGCATACTTTGAGTAAAACTGCATTGCATCGTGATAGATTTCATTTAGTTTGACAACAAATTTGTCTTGATATATCATGAGAATAATAATAAAAACAATTATATACTTAACAATCAATTGATTTGCTGAAAAATTTTTGCTACAGTGATGGGGTTATTTAAGATACATCAGAAATTATTTGCGCAAGAATTTAAAATAATATAATTCTTGGATGATTCATCATTATATTTGTGTAAAATACTTAAATAGGCACAGATTTTACAACAATACTATATAAACGTTTGTAAAAAATTGTAAGAAATTTAATGATTCCTTCCATGCTTGGTTGTATCATTGGTCACACATTATTTTTCTTAATTAATAAGATGTAACCTTAAATTAACATAATGCATTAATAAGATTGAACATTGCTCCTTGAATAAATTAAGACTAATTTATTTCTTAAACAATATTTGAGCTCAAATTTTACTGTCGAGTCATACATTCTTTATAATATATAAAACCATTGTTATGTAAATATATAATGTATGAAAAAATCTATTTTGTGCTCATACATTTTTAAGTTTAGTTTTATATACAAATTAAGTTTAATGAAAAGTATTTGTACTATAATTTATATTTAATATACACTAGTTATATAATATTTTTACTAGGGGGCAATATGAATGATAATGGTGGTAAAAAGATTTTAAGAAACAAGCTGAAGAAGTGGAAACATGAGAATATGAACATGGTATAATGATAGAAGCAAAAGAATGAGAGATACGATCATAGTGATGCTCTCAGTGTGAAGAATGTCTGGATGATGAAAATAGTATGTGGATTATGTGATAATGAGGAAATTACAGATGAAGAAATATTGAATATAGCTATAAAACATTTGAGTCTTTTCTGTTTGATGTTAAGGTTTGATAGTAAGGAAAATGATCCTTAGGCAAATGTGATATATTGAAGTTCACGATACCTATAAATTTAAGTGTAATTTTTAATTTGAATTTTCTCATTTAACTGCTTCACATGCAAGAGATGTTTTATGAGATATTTAATCATGTATCACTATTTGGTATACTATCTTGAAATGAAAATGTAGCATGTATCACTAATGTTTGTTACAGAAAGAGCAAGGAACATTGGATTAAATAGGTATACAAATAAAAGTCTGTACTAATTACAAGAGAATCTTTATTCACGTAATTTCAGTATTTTTCTTTCAATATACTCGTAGTGAGAATCTTAATTTTGATTATGTCCACTAATAAGATTTGCAGATGTATGAAAATATTAAATATATAATACAAATAAATTAATATATAATATATAGCATATCATATCTGCTACAAATTAAATAATATGATATTATTAGATGCACATACGTTTTTGTATGCATTTATATATCTTAAATTTAATAAACATATGACTTATTTGATTGATCTCTATTATTCAATGCCAAACCTTTGTTAAGCATCTCCAGATTCCTTACGTGCGGATAACATTGTAAGCGACTGCAGTATACGATAAAGCGATAGCAATAATTTAATAAAATTCCTTAGATTAATGTTTATTCTTCTAAGAAGACAAAATGGCGAACGACGGTCACAAAATGGAGGACAAACTCTTGCTGATGACGATGTTTCTGTATGCGGGCTGATTGAAGGAAAGGGAAGAAATGCGCAAAATGTTTCACCGCTCCCTCCGAATGCGAATTACCTTGCCGCTCGTTACCATAATTGTACCATTCGTTTAAAATAAAAAGAAAAAAAATCTCTTAATGAGAATAATAATGCTATTTCGGGCGTTTTTTCTGCGATAAGCGTTAGTTTGCGTTGGGGATGAAAGCGAACTATTCCAAACAACACACGCGACGAACGATACTTTACGTAGAAATAAAATCGAAATTACATGTGGTCGATATGATTAACTTCCAGAAAACATTTGAATCCGAATCCGGTAAGGAATCCGGGTCCGATTCTGAAAATGATAGCAAAAGCGATAGCTCTTCTTCCGGTAGTAACAGCGGCTCAGGATCTGGATCTGAAAGGTGGGTATGCACAAGGATTCGGTCCATTTCCCTGAAAATTGTGAGATCTGATACACGAACTTGCATCAGTAAGATTTTATATTTTTTTCTCGCACAAAAAACATTCAATAAATTTCAGAATTTCGTACATCTAACTTTGGATATTAAGAATAAGAACTTTGTTTTTTTCTTTTTTTCTTTTAGAATTATTTAAATACTTAATATTATTTGTCGATGTTTTTGAGAACGTAATACATATTTCCTTTAGATTCCATGATATTGATTAGGTTCATTAATTATTACTGTGTTTGGAACAAGTATCCCTGTACGCGTTTAATCTTTTATAAAATGTAGATGTAACGTATGATATATTGAGACAAATTGAACTGAATACAAGTGTATATCGGATTCTCTGATGTGTAAGGGTTTATCACAATCAGTGCCATTCACAAATGGGCTACTTGTGTATTGCTACAGCTTCATATAGCACTAACAATGTCTTAACAATTTTGCTAACTTGTACCCTACTTTGGATTTTTGTGAGCACACGTCTTTTCTCGTACATTACGTTTATGTTCAAAACGTTTGCTTCCTTGTATTAAAAAACCAGTGCAGTGCTAAATAAGCTGTAATATTAGTCTGTAACGTAAATATACTTTTGAATGATCAATGTGTCAGATACAAATCTCGAATTATAAAATTATAGGAGAGAACGTTCACATTTTCAACATCTCAAAGTATATATTATAAATTTTGGAAAACTCGATAGTTTAAAAAAAAAAATTAATTAAAAAATGAATTATGTATCATACATACATTAATTTTTTTTTATATTTATATATTTGTTACCTGAACTTTTTTATTAAATCTAGTTTAACTAAAATTCTACATATTCATATATCAATACATTATGTCACGAATGTTGCATAATATTTTTATGCCGAATTGTCTGCATTACCATTAAATATTCTGAACAAGTATGTATATCGAGATGTCCATTTATATCATCTGTATACACCTAGTGAAATGAAATATTGCCCGGCTGCTTAACGCAGCGACTCTAGCTCCTCGAGCGGTTCCGGTTCCGGATCGGGCTCCGACTCGGAAAAGTCGGAGAAGTCGGATGCACCTGCTGCACAAAGCGATAGCTTCCAGAGCAAAGGCTCGAATCACAGCACCGAAGCAAAGCTTAGAGTTAAACATGAGTCTAGTCGCGAGTGGGACGAGAATCCTGACATATACGGCATCAGGAGATCCGGGCGCTCCAGGAAGGAGCCCGATAGGCTCGCGACGAATCGCGACAGCGACAGTGATGGTCGCAAAAAATTTAAGAAGAAAGGGTAAGTGTGCAACAAATCGTCGGAGGAGAGGAGGAGGAGGAGGAGGAGAATACGTCGGCAGTAACGATCGATGTGGGACTCAGCTGAGTGAGTTGCCACAATCGCGAAGATTGCATATTTGTATGAATAAACTGCAATGCGCTAGTTCAAAGTTGAAATGAGCTCGGAATTGTTGATAGCCAATGTAGAATTGTAGTCGGTGTATACAGTTAGTCTGTATATCATGAACTTTAATCTTATTTGTGTCACAAAAAATATCTCGCAATAATACACCACTTGTGTGGCAACCGTATTAGCCGCTGCGTTAGTCTCGACAAAATACTTTATTTATGTATATTCCATCAGAGCACAAATAACGAACCGATAAATTTTATGTTTTCACTAATTTCCAATTGCATTATTATCAGCAAATTCGCACGTAAATAAATGGTACATGTATACGTGTACATGTATCTTGTCAATGTGTGGATTATATAACGTCGCGTAATTTTAATGTATAATCTGATGGTAAATTGAATTTGAGTCACTGAATTTATTGCGACGTTTAGAACGCTTTTTTTTAACGCCACAATAAAAAAAATGACTTATTTTCACATGTAATACATATACGCATCGCGTTAAAGTATGTATGCTACATGTATGCATACATATTACATACAGTTTTGACTGCATAAATATTCACAAGTGTTTACGTCTGTTTACGTAATACTCGTAAGTTTTTACATATGTTTGCACTAATCAGATTTTACTTTGGTTTTGCATTTAACTGCTATATTTTCCAATTTATATCACAATGCGTGTTTAAATTTTATGTTATATATTTCGAATTTATTAAAAATTTAACGAACATAAATTTTGTATGTGTTATGAAGCATATAAATTATTTTTGCAATTTTTTTCCTAAACTATTATACTGTTATATTTCTTATAAAAAGCTTAATCTTTACAGATTATGTAAAAGTATATAGTTGTCATACATTAATTTTGTATTTTTAATTCAATGAAATGCTAATTTGCTAACATTTCAGAAAAGCTAGTTTTTGTATATAATTTTTGATATGTTAATAATATATTTTAAATGCATGCAGAGAAAATAATAGCATAAAATTAATTTTTTTTAATATGACACTCGTAAAAGAATAAAATAAAATGACATTAAAAAAATTAATTTTATGCTATTATTTTCTCTGCATGCATTTGAAATATATTATTAACATACCAAAAATTATATACAAAAATTGTAAAAGCTTTTCTGAAATGTTACAAATAAATTAGCATATTTCATTGAATTAAAAATACAAAATTAATGTATGCCAACTATAAATACATGCGAATCTGTTAGGTGTAACACGTTCACAGTCATACACATACGATTTATTGTTTTAGTTCACACAATTCGTGGAATTCAGAGAGTTCAGATTCAGAATCTGATGAAACTGAAAATCGTAGACCGCCACCTAGCAAATCCTTGAACAGGCGTGCGGCGCAAAAAGCGAAAGAGAAAGCCAGAGTTCGAAAGAAGCAAATCTCTGAATCGTCTGACAATTCTTCCTTCGACAGTGATGATAATAGAAGGTAAAATGTCGAGTAAAATCGATTTAACAAAAGAGAAATATATATATATATAAAGCAAACACGAATTACGTATTATACATTGAATTATTAGGCAAGTTAGTAGACGGACAGGCACGGCAGTTAGTTACAAAGAAGAAAGTGAAGAAGGTACCGATAGCGAGGATTTGGTTGAAGTTGACGAATCGAACGCAGCGTCAACAGAGCCTGATAATGCGGAAACTATTGAACAAATTTTGGGACAAAGGATAGGCAAAAAAGGAGGTTGGTTTATTTTACGTGCATAATATAATACCATTAACTGAGATATAAAAATATTTATATTATAATTGTATGCAGTTACCGGCAATGTAACGACCATCTACGCTGTCGAAGAGAATGGTGATCCTAATCCAAAGGATTTAAGTAACATGGAAACCGAAGTACAATACTTAATCAAATGGAAAGGCTGGTCTCACATACATAACACGTGGGAATCAGAAGAATCTTTAAAAGCACAAAAAGTACGGCATTATTAATATTTTATATTTTTTAGCTTTTGTCGACTCAACTGTGACGTCAGGAAATATATTCGTAATCTTATTTGTTTGTTAGGTAAAAGGGTTGAAGAAGTTAGACAATTTTATCAAACGTGAACAAAAAATCGAGCAGATGAGAGAATGCGCTGAGCCAGAGGAATTGGACTTTTTCGAATGCCAATTGGAACTTAAACAAGATCTTCAGAAAAGTTACAACCATGTTGAGAGGATTATTGGTATGAAGATCTCTTTATTTTGAAAATAATATTAAAAAATATATTTAAGCTCTTTTTCATTATAAATAATAATAAACTATCGTATACTCTTTTTTTTTTGTTAGCTGATTACAAGAAACCAGACTCGGAACATCCCGATTATTACTGTAAATGGGAAAATTTGTCGTACGCTGAGGCCACATGGGAGGATGGAACTTTGATAGTGAAAAAGTGGCCAGAAAAAATAAAGGAATTTCGCGACAGAGAGGATTCCAAAAATACACCGAGCAAACATTGCAAAGTCCTCAAATCTAGACCTAAATTTTATCAATTGAATGAGCAACCTGCTTACATGGGCAAGGAGAGAGATTTAGTATTGAGAGATTATCAAATGGATGGACTTAATTGGATGATACACTCTTGGTGCAAAGAAAATAGGTACGCAGACTTTTTTTCTACAATAAACGACGCTTGAAATTATTAATTATTTATTTAATCTTTTAATTATCTACCTTTTGTCTCTAGTGTTATATTGGCCGACGAAATGGGTCTCGGCAAAACAATCCAAACGATATGCTTCCTTTATTATTTATTTCATACGCAACAACTTCACGGGCCATTTTTACTAGTAATTCCTTTGTCGACTATGACTTCCTGGCAAAGAGAGATGTCTCAATGGGCTCCTGACATCAATTTCGTCATTTATTTGGGCGATGTCAATTCTCGTAACATTGTAAGTATTATTTTTCATTTTCTCATAGTATTAGACATTTTGAGATTCTTTATATATAAATTACATAAATAATTCTTCTCAGATTCGGGAATACGAATGGTGCTACCGAGGTTCGAAGAGACTAAAGTTCAACGTCATTCTTACGACGTATGAGATAGTACTTAAGGATAAAGCATTTTTGGGTGCCTTAAATTGGGCGGTATTGCTAGTCGATGAAGCTCATCGATTGAAGAATGACGATTCCCTATTATACAAAGCACTTACCGAGTTTCACACCAATCATCGTTTATTGATTACTGGTACTCCGTTACAAAACAGCTTGAAGGAGCTGTGGGCCTTACTACATTTCATTATGCCTACAAAGTTAGTTCCTATCTTTTTAAATTTCTCTCTAGATGTAGAGATATTAGCATATATTTATAAAAGTATTAGTTTTTGTTTTATTTACATTTGTTATATTATTCAAACGTAGGTTTACCTCTTGGGAAGAATTTGAGAAGCAACACGACAATGCTGCACAGAAAGGGTACTCCAAACTGCACAAACAGTTAGAGCCATTTATTTTGCGCCGAGTTAAAAAAGATGTTGAGAAATCTTTGCCTGCTAAAGTCGAGCAGATCTTACGAGTAGAAATGACGTCATTGCAGAAACAATATTACAAGTGGATATTGACTAAAAATTTTGAAGCATTGCGAAAAGGCGTGAAGGGCTCTACTACGACGTTCTTGAACATTGTTATTGAATTAAAGAAGTGCTGCAATCATGCCTTTCTCACGAAACCGAATGAAATCGAAAGAGAAAAGACTAAAGAAGATTATTTGCAGCAAATAATTCGTGGTTCTGGAAAATTGGTGCTTCTGGATAAATTACTAGTGAGATTGCGTGACACGGGACACAGAGTACTAATATTCAGTCAAATGGTCAAGATGTTGGATATTCTTGGTGAATATCTGCAAAGGAGGCATTTTCCATTCCAAAGATTAGACGGGAGTATAAAGGGGGAACTACGGAAACAGGCGTTGGACCATTTCAACGCCGAGGGATCGCAAGACTTTTGTTTTCTATTGTCGACGCGAGCCGGTGGTCTCGGCATTAATCTTGCCACCGCGGACACTGTGATAATTTTCGATTCTGATTGGAATCCGCAAAATGATTTGCAAGCCCAGGCCAGAGCGCACCGAATAGGACAAAAGAATAAGGTACGCTAGCAATTGTTTCGATGTTCACTTGTATAAATTTTTAAACAACTTCAATCTTATAATCCAATTTATATTTATTGTATTTGTATTATGTAGGTAAATATCTATCGATTAGTCACTAAAAAGTCGGTCGAGGAAGAAATCGTCGAGCGCGCGAAGCAGAAAATGGTATTGGACCATTTAGTGATACAGCGAATGGATACAACCGGAAGAACAGTATTAGATAAAAAAAACGCGGGGACCAATAGTAATCCGTTCAACAAAGAAGATTTGACTGCTATTTTAAAATTTGGTGCCGCGGATCTGTTCAAAGACGAAGAGGACGGAGATGAGGAACCAGCTGTGAGTTTATTGGCATTTTACACTTACATTTTTTATATCCTACATTTTTGTTAGAATAGTTTGGTGCAGGAACAGTTTAATTGAAAATACGAAATCTTATTAATATTTATAATATACTACTATAACTTTAAAATCATCTATTTGGATATAACAGTTTGATATGCTAAAAATACTTATTTTTTTCTGTAAGTGTGATGTCGACGAGATATTAAGAAGAGCTGAAACGAGAGATGAAGGACCGACAACAGTTGGCGATGAACTGTTGTCCGCTTTTAAAGTCGCCAGTTTTAAAACAGCGTTCGAAGAGGATTTGGAACCTATTAATCAGTCAAATGATAACGATGATGAAAGTAAAGATTGGGTAAATATCTTTTCTTTTTTAATTTATTTACTCAAAATTTATTTTTGGATAAATATCTTAAATATCTAAATAAACATATTATCACATAAAATTGTCGCTTATTTAATATTCTTTTACGCGTTTTAGGTCGAGATAATTCCGGAAAATTTTCGAAGGAAGGTGGAAGAGGAGGAAAAGTCAAAAGAAATGGAGGATCTTTATTTACCACCGAGAAGTCGGAAAACTCTTCAGCAACTCAATCAAAGCGAAGGTATTTTTTTTAGAAACACTTGCATTTGAATGTAAAATATATAAGCAAATGTAATGAATGCTACTTATGAATATACTTGTGTATTTGTTTTTAGGGAAAGGGAGAAAGAAGAAGAAAGTGCAAGACGACAGCGAGGATGGCGAGGAATCGGGTAGCGAGGCGGAAGGAAGCGACGATGACAGGCCTAAGAAAAGAGGTAGACCAAGGGTTACGCCACGCGAGAATATCAAGAGCTTCACTGACGTTGAGGTGTGTAACGATTTTATTTCATGAGAAATCGCATTTCGTTCCTTACATATTTTTAATATAAAAATAATGTTCTCTTTTGCAGATACGACGATTTATCAAGAGTTATAAAAAGTTCCCGGCGCCTTTGAAACGATTAGATGATATCGCGGCTGATGCTGACTTGCAAGAGAAACCAATGTCGGAATTGCGCTTCTTAGGCGAACAATTGATGTCTAGATGCGACGCGTGTTTAATAGAATTCGAGAATACCGCGAAAGAGAATAAGGGTGGCGAGGAGGAAGGCAAAGGGCCGGGTCGTAAAAGAGGACGGGGGCCCACTTTTAAGATAGGCGGTGTAATGGTGAACGCAAAGTCGTTCTCGGCTGCAGTTAAAGAACTCGAGCCTCTGGAACAAGCTTTGCCGTCCGATCCCGACCAACGTGCTAATTGGCATCTTGATATTAAGTGAGTTTAATTATTTAATTAAAATTTATAAATTAGTTTAATCCAGGGCTCGACACGCGTTGCACTTTTGCTAACCTCACCGCTTTGCGCGGCAGTCCAAGTGCCGATCGGATTACCGCGCGGTGAGATTAGGGGAACAGCGGCGCTCGAAAATCGGCTGAAACATGCAACTCGTGTCGAGCCCTGGTTTAATCCCAAGTAACATTAATCTTTTGTTGCTTAACTTGTTCAGTTAAAATAGTGAAAAGAAAGATAGATTAACATTAATTAAACTTGTTTAAAAAAATTAAGTGTGAATAAACATTAAGACGTTTTCTTACTGCAGATTGAAACCAGCGAATTTTGAATGTGAATGGACTTCCGAGGATGATGCTAAACTGTTAAAGGGCATATATCAGCACGGCATGGGTTCATGGGAGGCGATAAAAACAGATGCCAGTTTGGAACTCGGGGATAAGATCTTTCCTAATGGCAATAAAGTGCAACTCAAACGCGTCAACGCACGTGCGGAATATCTCTTGAAGATTTTGAAGAAGCAAATTGATCTTAAGTTAGGCGTGGTAAGATTATTTGACATATGACATGTCAACAGGCATGTCTTTATTGATCTCTTTTACTTCTCCGCAGGATTATGTCTTCCTTCTTCAATTAGAAACCGAGTACCAGGTAATATCCCGACCGTTCCCATCCTCTCAGTCTTTCCTATATCTTGACAAACGATCGTAATGTACGAAAGAGCAAACATGGAGAAAATGTGTGAATTATGATTGGGTACATCCAGGAGCGTAATCGCTTACTAAGCGCTCAGTGAGTTGTTGTATCTGATTGGTATATTCCTCTAGATCTAAAAATATAAACCAAACAGATGCAAGAGCTCACTGAGCGCTCCTGGATACACCCATTAAAATGTAAAAAATATATATAAAGTTTGCATTTATAAATTGTCCAATTATTTCAGACGCGAATGAGAAAGCCGAGGAAACCCAAAGAGATGAAAACGGCAATTACCAAAGAGATTGTAGAAGATAATGATAGCTCCGGTGACGAAAATAAGAAATCAAAATCCAGAATTGATAAAGTAAGTTTTAAAAGCGAGACTAGCTTTTTGTATATTTTATAAATTTATATAAAATATACATCTATATACATGTGTTTTATAATTATATAGGCGGTTAAAAAAGAAGATGAGAATATTGCAAAAAAAGATATCAAAGAAGAAGTCGATGATCTATCTGACGAAAAGAAAAAAGATAAGAAAGCTAAAAAAGAGAAAAAAGATAACAAGAAGGCTAAAAAGAACAAGCAAGCGGCAGGTCCCATGCATTTTACTGCAAACAACGAACCAAGAGCTGTCGATGTAATTGGCGAATTAGATCCACCAGTATTCGATGAGGTTAATATAATTTTTTAAAAATAAATTAGTATATTTTTCTTATAATAACATCTACAACGATTAAGTACATAAATATCTATAATAAATAAAAAATTGAAGAAAAATCTGTTTGATTATGCAGTGCAAAGAGAAGATGAGGCCAGTGAAAAAGGCGTTAAAGGCCTTGGACAAACCAGATATGTCTCTGACCGAGGAAGAGCGAGTCGCTCGCGCACGTCGATGTCTTTTCCAAATCGGAAACCACATCAACGCGTGTCTGGCGGAATATAAAACCCCTGAACAAGTCGGCGAATGGAAAAGCAATCTCTGGTACTTTGCTTCCAAGTTTACGAATTTCAAAGCGAAAAAACTTTACAGGATGTATAAGAACCTGGTGAAACAAGGTGGCGACAGCAATGGCGGCACCACATCTAGTCCCGATAAAAAAGAGGATGCTTCTAGTACTGCAAAGGTATTGCGCGCGTTAAACCTTTTATTTTTATCGCATAGAACAGGGCTCGGCACGTGTTGCACTTTTCACCCGATTTTCGAGCGCCGCTGTTCCCGTTACCTTACCGCTTCGCGCGGCAGTCCAATGCCGATCGACACTTGGACTACCGCGCGAAGCGGTGAGGTAAGGGGAACAGCGGCACTCGAAAATCGGCTGAAAAGTACAACGCGTGTCGAGTTCTGGCATAGAAAACAGAAATAGATAAGAAATTAATTTCCTGTTTTATTTAGCCAAAACACAGTGAAAAGGGATCTCACGAAAAACATTTTGACAAGCAGCAACAGGCAGATAGCAGTAATAAAGATAGCAGGCTAACGAAACGTAAAATTGATGATATCGAGGAAAATTCGAATAGCAGTACGCAAAGTAAGAAACACATCTCGACTATTTCTGCTATCAACAGCAATATCAGCAGCACATCCGCGGTTACTATTGGTGCTCTTACGATTACGCCTATAATGTCAACGTCAAATTCCACATCGAGTACCACTAACAGCGCAGACACATCGCGACATAAAGAACAAAAAGAGTCAAAGCATAAAGATATGAAAAGGGATAGAGATCGTGACAGGGACAGAGATAGGGGACACGACAGAGATAGATTAAGTATAAGCAAGGACGACAGAATTAGAAGAGACGGATACAATATGGGGCATTATAGCGGTAGCAGGGAAGATGATCATTGGTTATCCAGAGACGGGAGAGATATGCGAGACGGCAGGTACGGGTAAGATCATTTTCTATATCCATATATACTCTTCAATGTTTAAAATATATTTTCTGCTATTTATATCTTCTTAATTTAATTTGGATTTTATTTCATTCATTTAAAATAATTCATTCATAATGTAAAATTATTAATTTAGATTATTAAACATTAATAGAGATCTTTATCGCTATTTAATCAATTCTTTAATGTTTTTTATTGTTTCTAAGTGTTGCAAAAAACTTTTTTTTATAGATTCGGAGATCATAAACGCGATCGCTTCGATCCTTATGGCCGAATGTCCAGTGGTTATCACAGAGACAGAGATAGAGATCGAGATCGTATGCATATGAACGACAAAAGAAGGTGGGTAATAACGACCTTATTTGCAAATCGAAAAACTAATCTATTTCACGAATTTTGAAATTACAATAAGCATGGTTTTTTCAGTGATTATTATCGATACTCGTCGGGACCACCGAGTTACGGATATGGACCAGGTGGTTACGGTAGCAGCAGTGGTTACCCGCCCGCGGATATTGGATCGAGTCATTTTAGAAGTCGTGGTTATGCAGATGGCTACTCCAACGATTGGCGGCCGAAGGATTACAGACGGGACTACGATAGAAGACCACCGCCACCAAATGCCAACTCCTAGTGCTTCTTTCTTCCTCGGTTGTGTCACGGTATCAAAACCGTTTTGTGTATAATTTTGTTGCGAGTGGGAGCGTTTGCGATAACACTGGCCCTCTCACGTCTCTACGTGGGAGAAGTACTGAATGCACGGTGCACGACGTTTTCTGTGAGGAAATATGCACCATTCTTGTATAAAAGAATTCTATTTGTATAAAGGAATTATTCCGATGTTTATTATATGCGGATAATAACGACATGTTGAAGATGTGTTTAGAAAATGTGCATAGTACTCTCTATTAGAAACTTTTACAGATACATAGAGTCTGGAAAGGAAAGAAAAACAAAAAATCGAATTATATTCTCAGCGCATAATGACAGGAGAAATTTTTATATCGGAACGTATATCGGAATTTGTCAAGAGATATAAACGAGCAGTATGTATTTGCTTCTTTTTAAGTATGTATTAATAAGAATTGTAACTGGTATAATTTCCTGGAATTTTTATTACACATGCTAAAACCACTTTATTGAAAATACAATTTTCAACGTATAATATGAGATAAGTAAAATTCATCTGAATTATACTGGAGTACAATTCTAGAGTACGATTGTACTTTTTATTTTTTATTAATACTAATTTTTTTCTCGCATATCCGAGTTTGATTTTATCGTGCAATTGTGAGAAAAATTGACGACGTTATTGGAGTCACGAATATATATTTTCTACTATATCGTATACAGTCTGGATGCGGTCCAATTGACGATTCGGAATAGTTTCCGCTTCTGTTAGTGTAATCAATGTGGTCAACGTTTGCACAAATTAATCGGTGTTTTTAAAGATCTTGACTGTCGCGCGCGTTCTCTATGGAATACTCTAAAAAAATGCTCTGTAAAATAGACCGCATCCTGAACTGCTGCTGAGCATTGATAATGTCGATTATACCGCATCCTTTATTACGTCCTTTGTTATGTAAAATAAGTGAACTGCTTCCGCGCTACGCGCATATATTTTGCATTTTCGATACTGATTATATATATTATATGCATATTCAGTTTAGAAACATAGTTTCGCGCACATAATCGCCTCGAATGATACCTGATTTCACCGTTCTTATCTGAGAATCAGATGAGAGTAATACATAGCTCTACGCTAACACAATTTAACTTGCGTTACAGTAGACACAAACGGACGTGGTGTTGCATTGTAGCATAATGTCTGTGAAATTGTACAAATTTAATCACCATCGTATAAATTTTCTATGTAAAAGAAGTTAAAAACACTCTTTAAAGTAATCGTGTTTTACAGAGATGGGATTGTACGGAGATTGTCCGATTTGGTATGCACGCTGAAGTCATACAATGCATCGACTGCACTTGCTAACGAGATACCGGTCGACAATTAAATGCGTTGATTCAGCAATCACCAAACGTAATCGCTTATCTGTTACGCAAATCAAAATACAGTGGAAATACAGTTCGGATCGCACTTTCTTTCGATAGTCTTCTGACGCGTTTGTGATTCAAAGAGAATAGAAATAGGTAAAAGTACTATTTTTGCGTTCATTATTTTATGGCATACCGTAGTTTTGTATTCTAAACATACGAAACCGACATGTGACATACTTGTAAATATTAGCGTAAGACCGATAGTTATACTCCGTTCGTATCGAACTGTTGAATCACTTAATACAGCATTACGCTTTCTTTATTTAACATACGAGTATGAGGAGGCATTTGCTACCTCAATCTTGTTTCAGTCAAAAGGAAGGAAGAAAGAGAATAAGCAGAAGGAATATTGACACAAGGATTTTATATTACCTATAATCAAGAATATCTTTCGTAGAATATTAATATTTTTCAACTGAAAGAATTTCAAATTTAGAGATTGACTATAACAATAATTAATCGTATTCGCTCCAATTGACGAACAGCTAATATTTCTTTTTTTTATAAAGAAAGACTTCTCATAAAGTTTTTTTATTCATAAAAAACGAAGAAACAAGGAAAAAGTCGAGCATTCTTCGACTTGTAGAACATATATTATCTTATATGATTCGAGACTATCGCGCGATATTGAATGCTAAACGCACTATGTCTTATCAACGTGTATAAAATAAATTATTTTGTAGATTATTTTACGCGCTCGCGTGAAGCCAATTTTGCAATTTCCATGTGCATTTGTGTAAATAGTAGCATGTATTGAGGAAACGAGACAACATATTCGCGACGATACGGATTCGTACTAAAGGAAAAACGAATGTAATTCATATTTTCTTGTGTTCGGAAATAGGATTTGATCACGTGGCAACAGGAATCTGCTCGCCAGAGATTTCATTTGCGAAACGACGTTTCGGACGCAGCGAGAGTTATTTAATTTACTGCGAGCATGCGACTACGGCGATACGGAGTGTACAACAATGCACGGAATAAGAGGATAACAAAGATGCGAGTTGTAAATATCGACTTGAAGAATGAAATATAGTGGCATAATGAAATAAAGTTCAATATCATGCGTATATTAGACATGTAAAGCGATCATAACGTATTTTATCTATCTTTATTGTAGATTGCTCTGCGTTTCTGAAAATATATCTGCAGAAAAGTTTTTCATGGTAGTGGTGAGCGTTATTTTTGTATTTGAAACATAAAAAAAAATTTCTTTTTAATATTTTTTTACCTCCTACACATATTTATATACATTTAAATATCTAATATTTCAAATTTAACTGAGTACAATTATAAATTTTTATAATATGTAATATTCTCGGCTATATACTATGTCATTTATATCATTTGCAAATTATTACATTATTGTTGTTACTAAAAGTTACTAAAAGTAATTCCTATAACTTTACTTTCATCATTTATTTAATTTTATAATCTGTAATCTAAATATTCAGCTTTTCGCAAACTTTGAAAATTACATATTGACCTGTATAAAATAAATTAATTTGTAGATTATTTTTACCGAGATCACGTAACTTTTGGTGCGTTCGTATGACGCAAGAGTATACCCCTCTCCAGCGCATCGCTACTTCCACTTTCCAGCAATATGCGAATGACGATGCCATTTTTGTCGAATGTTTGCATGGTTATCGATACCCATTACTCATCGACTGCAATCGACTGCTGCGGCAGCTACGCACTGTGCTACGCACAGCCTCACCCAGCCTCGCCTGTGGACGTGGGAGCACAATTTATTTTGTGAAAAGACGCACTTATTCGAGAGAAAAACTCGATCAGTTCATTTTGATTACTGTAATACTTTTGCGTAAGTATGTAACATTTATCTCACATATTAGGCCTGTTTTTTTATAGCTGAACTGCTGCACCAGTTCACAGTTTTTTTCTCTTTCTACATTGGAAGAAGAAAGATAAACTCTGAACTAGTGTAGCTAATTCAGCTATAAAAAACAGACCTTTGAACGATTCTTTTCTTATGTGTCTATGCCGTACTGCGTCGTCATGCCTAGTCACGCCTATTCACCTATATTGTGGAGAAAATTACGTTCTCAAATTTTTAAATAGATAGCAACATAACAGTCTGTTGAGAACGTCGAAAAATAGATATTGAGTTACAAAATAAAAGTACATAATATTTGTAATTGATTATAATTTATAATATCAATTACTTAATTATTAATCATTATATATTATATTGTGGACAGTTATAATATTTATGCAAAATAAATTAATTTTCTGTAAACTTTATTTTGGTCTTTAAAACTGGTTCTTTTTACTTTCAGTATATATTGTTACTTACAATTAGTATTTATTTAATTTTATAATACATAGGTACATTAATGATAAATCTTGTGATGAACTTGTGATAAGCGTACGTAATAATAAGCACTTCTTTAATTTCCTATAACATTTATGTTAACAAAAGACAATTTTAAATGTAAGTTGTAAAAAATATTAATGATTATTTTGATATAGATTGCAGGAAAATGGCAGATGATCGTTTAGATATAATAATATTTGGTGCCACTGGATTTACTGGAACATATGTAGTGAAAAATGCAGCCGATATATGCAAGGATTTGAATATAAAGTTTGGTGTTGCTGGTCGTAGGAAAGAAGCTTTAGATGCGGTTGTTAAGGAATATGCTTCAGATATTGGTACAGTTAAAATTTAGAACTAATTATTTCAGTAGATAGCGAGCCGCAGTAGCTAGTTTATTATGAGCAATTAGCATTCTTATATTATTTGTATTTTACCAGAAAATGTACCTATTATTTTGGCTGATGTAAAAGACGAGGAATCTCTCAAGAAAATGACAGAGCAGGCAAAGATACTTATCAATTGTTGCGGTCCATTCAGATTTTATGGAGAACCAGTTATTAAAGCGTGCCTTGCTACTCGTACTCATTATGTTGATATTACTGGTGAAACAGAGGTAGGTCAATACGTTCGCAATATTATAATCAATTTACGATTAATTTCTAATCGGTAATTGCGCAATGAAAGTACAACCAATTTAATGATTTCTAATTGTTTCAATATTTTACAGTTCATGGAGGAAATGCAATTGAAATATAATGAAGCAGCAAAAGAAACTGGCGTTTACATAGTGACCGCTTGCGGTTTTGACTGTATTCCTAGCGATTTGGGGGTCATTTTCGCTCAACAGAAATTTGGAGGAGAAGTCAATGCTGTTGAAATATACATGAGCACATGGTCAACCGAGCCTGAGAGGAAAGGTTCAGTTTTGAACTATGGAACTTGGGAGTCTGCGATACACAGTATTGCTAGTAGAAACGAACTACGGGAATTACGCAGAAAGTTGTATCCTACCAAATTGCCTGAATTCACGCCGAAATTAAAATCAAGGTACACACGTTTCTTGTGTAAATCACGTTTTGTCAAATATAAATCAATTTTATGCCAAATGTTCAGAAATTATACAAGTCTTATAATTATAGATTAAAAGAAGTAGTGAAATTGACGATAAGAAGTGTTAATAATTCCATTTATTACAGAGGTATCGTGCACAAAAGCGATATTTCTGAAGGATGGTCCATACCATTTCTTAGTGCTGATCGTGCAGTAAATTATCGCACACAGCGATTCTTGTATGACAAATATAAAGAGAGGCCTGCGCAAGTTCAATTTTATGCTACGTTCAAGTCAGTACAATATACATAGAAATGCGACGAATGTTGAGAAGTAATTTCTACTAATATACGCTTATTATTAGGACTTTCTTTGACTTTCTGATGGTCAGCATTGTCGGTATGCTTATGTTAATCATGTCTCGCACGGCATGCGGTCGTAATATACTTCTAAGAGTATGTGTCAAAGTATTTGCAATTGTGAAAGTCATTTAGATAATACGAGATAATTAAACGCGATATTTACAGTATCCGGCTCTATTTACGAACGGTCTTATAAGTCATGAGAACCCGGACCGGGAAACGCAGAAATCGGCACACTTTTCAATGACGTTCAAAGCCACTGGCTGGACTGAAAAGTTGCCTGAACCTACTGACAAACACACGGATGCACCTAATAAGACAGTAATCACCAAAGTCAGCGGTGTTTCTCCCGCATATGAAATGACTAGCATCGTAGTAATCTTATCGGCAATAACAATTCTTACTGAAAGTGATAAAATACCTGACAAGTAAGTGAATCATAATTGCTAGCCAATGTAACTCTACTGTAGTCATTTCTTGAGGATTTAAAAAGTTTTCAATTTATAGTTATAGTTTATAAGCAATTAAAGGATAATAAGTATAGTTACATGTTTGATTTCGGTTTAATTTTTATGTATTTATATTATTATATTTTTACAGCGGAGGAGTGCTCCCTCCCGGTGCTGCGTTCGGTAAAACATCTATGATCGAGCAAATGATTAAACATAATATTAAGTTCGAGATGATATCGTCTAAGCTATAAAGATTCTATACGATTCTTTTTGACAATATTTTAATACCCTTTATAATTATGCTTACTGTTATTAACATTTTTTATGTGTTTTATTTTATGCTCTATATATATGTTTTATGGTGTTTCAGAAAAATGTTTATAAAACAGAATAGTTTATAAGAATATTATTAAAGTTTATAATAAAGATTACTTGTTACATGTTAAAAAATGATTAAAAAATTTAAGATTTATACAAAATACAATATAATATAATGTTTACCAAATTGTATATCGTTATTTAAAGAGTTGTATGTGATGTAATTTAACAGAAGTTAATATTAATACGTTGGTAATAGACTTTTTAATGTTTTTTTTTTCGCTATTAAAATTAATTGTCTATGTTTTCGTAATATAAAAAATAAGCATTAAAGCAACATTAATTATATATGTATTTTGTAATTAAAAATTCTTCATGTTTTCTCTCATATTGGGAAAATGTTTTAAGAATTTTTAATTAAATATATATTCATATTCGTTTAAAAGGTTATGAATTCTGATAATTAGTGCAATCTTATTCTCATTTTCAGAATAAAATATCCATTGTACATTTTGTACAAGTTTGCTATTTTTTGTCAATTATATTTTATGAATTTATATATCTGTATATCTACTGTTCCTTATGTAACATTTATGACATGATATGATTCTTAATTTATTTATCTGTCTATTCATTAGTTGAACAAGCAATCTTATTTTTATCAACCTAGATATAGGAGGTAAAGGTACCTCAGGAACATTGAAAGAAATACAGCAAGGAATATTGAAAAAACCAAACAGCAATGAAGTGAACAATGAGAAAGAGATGTGATTGTGACGTTTCAGCAAAGAAGCGGGGTACATCCGCATCGTGTTATGCACTCATTATGTGCGTACATTATTTTCCTTTGAGTAAACTTTCCTGCACTAAGCGCAGGAATTCACGAGAAAGACAAGCTAAATACAGTTTTAAAAATCTCAGAATCATCTCGCCGACGTATTGATTCGATGCGTCATACGGGGGATTCCGTTTGCGTAAAATCCCTTCGCGATGGAAAACTACTCTACTACTTTTGCAGATCGCCGATGATCGCATAGATTAAATGTACAATACGTCGCTCGTTGCGATCACACGAGATGTATAATTTATTCAATTTCTTGTTTCTACAGAAGGCCGTTTATTGTAAAAAAAAAGAAACGAACTATAACACGATCACACGCATCCGCTCTACCGTAAAATGCGGTTTCATGATATTTCTTTTTCTTTGATCCGAAATTGAACGAGGAACAAGACCTTCCTTCGAGGACGAGAATATGGAATATTTATATGTAGGATATTTTTTTATATTTCTAGATTAATTGTGACGTCATCTTTTTTTTGTTACGAGCGTATTTAAGAAGAGAAACAGAATAGAACGCGCGGCCTGTAGAACAGAACTCTATTGATCGCATTATATGGAATCATTTAATATTGTCTAAAGAGTTATCTTTAATAGTCAAAAGAAAATTGTCGAATTAGAATAATAAATGTATGTTAATCTAGAAATATAAAAAAATAGCCTGCATATAAATATTCCATTCTCTCGTCCTCGGAAGGTCTTGTTCCTCGTTCAATTTCGAATCGAAGAAAAAGAAGTATCGTCGAAACCGCATCGGTTAAGAATTTGTCCTATCTTTGTTGGCGATTTCCTGTGGCACATGAACATCATGCATTCATGAGAGACACGAAGATTCTCTTCTTACGCACTCAACAACACGAAAGGAGGCTGAAGAAAATAACAAGCAATATTGGTAAGCACAAAACTTTGCCAAAATTTTTATAAAAATTATACTGAATTTTAATCTAGATATCGATAAATATTTATAATGTATCTTTCATTTATTTTTTTCTTGTTTTGTGAATTGTTTTTTACGAATATGTAATTTCATATAAAAATCTTAAATTTACAAAGAATTGGCAATTAGCTTCCTAGCTTCCAATTACTTTCCTTCGAGAACCGTTTATGATGCAGGAAACATACCGTAAAGAATCGAGTTTTTCTGCTATGAATTCTCTTATGCTGAGTGGCAAAAAGACACAAGCATGTACAGACAAAAAGTATCGAGGCCAAATCTTAATACGCGTTTTCACTATCGAGGAACGTGAGAACAATCCTTTGATAGCCAATATTATCCTTCTGCTTAACTATAGATATGACTGTGAAGCGTAGTTGTGTAAAAATCATATATCATATATATCACTCTTCTTTTTCGTATACTGTATCGGATTTTTTGCTTCATTATGCACTGCACACGAGATGTAATACAAGATCTTGTACACTGTATCGGATTTTCTGCTTCATTATGCACTGCGTTATGTAATACAGGATCATATTTTACTTATAAATAGAAACTCTAAAGTAGCCGAAACTCTAAAGTGTCGTAGTGAGTGATAATTTTAATAAGTCGCTTATATATCTTAGCACTCAATTGAGTGCTAAGATATAGAATATTAATATCTCGTATTTTCATTTATTGCAAATTTCTCTCGATTCATATCAATATTTTGTTTGCACAATTCAAGCTGCTATAATTTTCATATAGCATATATAAACAGAGAAGGAGCTCATTTTAACATTTTTCTTAATAAAGACATTGAAATTTGAAGCTCAAAACAATCCGCTGATGAGTAACTTGGAAAATGCTGATCGACGTAATCCTTTACGCTTTTTGCAAGGGTTGAAAATACGATATCGAGGAAATAGGCGAGGAGTAAATCTGCCTCTTTCTCTTGAGGAAAAGGCAATGCGCATATATAAGAACCGGTTGTTTGACGTCGGGATTCACTGTGACGTAGGTATACTTTCCTACTCGGTCGACTCTCACGCAAAGCATATTTACCCTATTCCTTCTTCTTTTATTTCCCTCTTTGGTCCAAGTGCATAAGACACTCCGGTGCTGTTACGCGCCTGCATGCGTGCGTACGTCATTTGGATAAAAAAAAACGGCGATTTGCTCCGTCATACTTAATTACTTGATTTTGACTTGATAAATATCATTTTAGCCAAAGGTTTCCCGCAAAGCGATAATCGCGCGATTCTCTCTTTATCATTTCGAGTGCAATCTTGACAAACATTAGACACGATTGATGTACGACAGAAATATAGATTAAGGCGTGCATATCATTGAATTATTTTGCATAAATTTTGCATTTTACGTATCTATATTACATATCTTGCGTATTAAATTTTGAAGAGCAAAAAGCCAATCATTTTGCTATCATTGCACATTATTTTTTACCTCCATTTTTTACATATCTCGAATGCCGTATAAATTATTAATGGAATCTTAATTACAGGAATTCAATCTTGATATAGCATAAAATTTTACCTTTTTAAACGTATACTTAAGAATAAATTATAATAAATAAGTATAGACGAAAAAACTACTCTGCCTGTGTTTCATGCATATACATATAGATGCAGAGTTATTTAAGGATTTTAATTATCAGGAGAATCAGTATTATTCTGATGACAATGAAGGAAAGAATATTGAGTTAACGTTTGAATGGTATCCGCACATAATTTTAGTGGGAATTAAGTGAAAATCCCAGATTCAGTTCCCTAAGGATTTTTTTGATTATACCTTAAGCTGACTTGAAGGAACTCGGGGTTTCCCTGCCGACGATAGAAGATAATATGACTGGGTTTTTCTGTCCTAGAATTTACAATCTTACAAAAAAGTCCCTTTTTCTGTTTCCAATTTTTATGAGTTAATCGATTAATTCTTCGGCGAAGTAATAAAAATTATCACTCAATTATCTAATAAATTAATTAGCTAATTTAAGATAATACAAGAAATAATAAGATAGGCAATAAGAATCTAATATATAAATTTCCGAGATCAATCTTTTATTTAAAAACGTTTCTGTATTTAATATTCTGGCAGTAACAGAATAAATTAATGATATTAGTGTACTAATGTATTATTCATCACTGAAGAAAGCCTGAAAGAGACCGAAACAGAATTGTTACGGATATGTAACAACATATTAAAAAAAAAAAATTTTTTTTACGCACAATAACCTAAGTAAAACAGCAAGTCACGATAATATTAAAATGACTGATCAGATAATATAACTGAAAAGGTGACTTTTAATAATCATTTTGATGTCATGATGACTTGTCCTGCTTGGGTAAATTTTGCGTATTAGACTCTTATTGCTTGTCTTATTATTTCTTATATTATTTTAAATTGAAATTTATCATATTTATAATATTTTTTTAAGATCCCAATTTTAAAATAATATCTACGCAAATTTTTTAACAAGATAGATGAAAGAGACGTGAATAGATCAATATAAAATACACAAAGAAAAAGAAGAAGAGATCCAAGGGAATAAAAGACAGGATTCTATTAATTCTCCCAATGCACTCGAATCTCGAGGACCAGGCGGTCCTGCGAAGTCATTTCCGCATTGTCGATTATCAACTCGAGCGATGCATGGAGGAAAAGGAACAAAATGATAAAAGACTAGACGTAAAACCCCTCTGAGAATTATTTATTTCCCGACGCGGGACTTTACTATTCTAAAAATTTGATCTATCAATAATAAAATTAATAGATTGCAACATTTGGATGTATCGCACCCCGGTGTACGTTTCCGAAGTGGAGAAGATGAAAATTATTCTCCCTCTCTCCTCCCTCCCTCCCCGATAATCTCCAACTAGGTGGGCTTGCGGCTCTTTGCGATAGTAGGAGTAATGGAGAGAGAGATAGAGAGAGACCCGCGGGGAGTCATGCGCATATATACAGAAGGACTCGTGGGTGACGTTCGCTCTCGCCGTCACCACCGTCGCTCTGTCCACGCTCGGTCGAGCTCGCATCAGTCGCGTTCCGCCCGTCCTGAGATTCGTCTGCATCGCGGCTCCTCCACGCGTCCGTCGCTCATCGCACGCGGTGCCGACTTGTCTGTTCGTAGTTCATAGTCATAACTCTTTCTGTTCCTACACACGTGCCGTCTTCGCGTGCGTCACGCGCGGTCCTCGCAGCGGTGCGCAGCTTCCGAAATCATCGTCAGGACGAACGCAGCTTCTTCTGCCGAAAAACAGCGGGTCACGATTAGAAGTAAGTTCGATCAATCGATCGGGAGCAGATCGGACGCGGAAAACTCTTGAGGAGCTTCATCTTTCGATTCTGCCGTGTTTGAATTTGTTCACATTGTGAAAAATTAGATTCGGTTATTTCGGAAAATTTCTCAGTTCGCAAGCGCGACACTGATTGTTTTTCGTGCGCGTGACGCGGAGTTATAATAAGTTCCTGATACGGCAAATGTTAAATGTCAAGCGGTTATACTGTTGCGGGTGATATGTAATTTAGTAAAGAGAAGCATTTTAAAGTGGTCTAATGGCTATTACGTTTTATTGAATAATGAGACCTATTATCGTTGTCATTTAAATATGAAAATAATCTTCCATAATTAATAGATTAATAGATTAATGATATATTATCTAATATCAAAAGATATTACTTGTTATTAATATTGAAATATCTATCTTTAATATATCGTTCGATAACACGAAAGCATCTGTACAAAAATGCACCGCATCTGCCGCTCGCCCCCTCCCTGAGATTCGAATACATTCAATCAATTTTATCAACTTGTTTCTGACATATTCACAGTTTCCAGACGACAATACGACTATTCCAAACCGCTCAACACATCCCGGAAACCTCTTGATCTGCCAGATCGGAACAAGTGCTAAGAGTTGAACGATCGACGCCGAAAATTGTCAACCATGAACGGAGTATCGAACAAGTGCGCGAAGCTAAAGATGTATGATGGGGAGGATGACAATTCGGTAATGATTAAAAAGCCCCTACCACTGAGGGCAGTTTCGTGGAGCGACAACATTGAGGAAACCGACCTGGACGTTCCCGGAACACCCAGAACACCGCGTACGTCCACGACAAAAGGTACTGCAGTTCGAAACATCTCGACTAATAGACCACGTAAAAATCGTGACAATTTTAAAATTGATCGCTAAAAATTTTATTTTGTTACATTAATCTTTTTTGTAACATTACTTGCGTTTCGTCTTGATATCGCATTGATCTATTAAATGCAAATTTGTTGAATTTTTGATTATAGTGCATCTTATTTCGAATTACTGAAGGTACTTACAATAGGCGAGTTATTATAATACTGTTATGGAGCGTACCAAATGTTATTTCTTGTTTTTCAATCGGTAACCGTAAACACAGACTACGTAATTCTCGCTCGTATCTCGCCATAACGCGTCAGACGTAAATGGATTTTACGAAATTCCATTAATACTTACACACTTACGAATAACTTTAAGATAAAAACTACTGACATTTAAGAGTCCACTCGAATTTTCAAGAAGTAACATTATCAGTTATGGAAGATTAATAATATTTAATGTACGAAAGAGATTCTCATGTTCTACATTAAAGTCGGAGCATCATGAGAAATGTCTCATTTACAGGAAAAAATCCGTGAATCTATTTCGGTATCAGCACGTGCCAAATTTTAGTGAACGGCCCTTTTCATATTAATTACACCGTGGTAATCTTGAGATAAATAAGTATGGGCACATCGTTGGGGTAAAGTTATAGTGATGTGCAACGTATAATGTAAGTTACAAAAATCTGATATGTGGCAAAATGATATCAGAAAAATTCTAGAGAAAAGATATAATCAATGAATTGTTAAAAATTCTTTGGCAATAATTAAAAAGATTGATCGTGATTTCGAAAGTCTCGTGAGAAATGATTTCTTGAACGTATAAGAATAATTCGATATTTACGTTACAACTCTTATTTTTTAGAGTTCTGATTAAACGGAGGAACGATTTTTGATAATTATGTCGTCGCTAATTAGTCGAGTGAATTTGTGAGAAATTATCGTAGAGATATTTTTAAGCGTAAAAGAAAGAATACGTTTCTATCTTCACGACAATTAAAACACTATCTCTCGCTTATGAACCGAACTTTCGAAATAACGGACGTTATGAATATTTCATTAATGTTAACGCACAAAGAAAGCAATTATTATTGTCGCGGCAGAATCGTCGCTGCTGCCAAATGTGAAAACGGACAGGTTTCTCTGCCGCTGCCATCAGTTTCTGCAAATGTTGAATCATTTTCCACGCTGGAAATTGACGAGATTCGATAATGGAATTGATATTCTTTCGATGTCACGATCGAACGAATCTTCCACGTCGCCTCTAATGACCGCTTTGTCGTCGGCACTGGATTCAATTACGCGACACGGTTCGTTAGGAAGAGACGGGCTAACTGAGTTTCCAACGTGAACACGCGCTTCTCTCGTCGTCATCGTTGCCGTTGTCGTCTTAGAAAAGCCGATCATTCGCGAGTCCATGAATAATATTGCACGCGAAACCTTGAATCTGTTTTGCCGAGCACTTTCTACGCACCGTTTACGCACGCGAAATGGAAACACGTACTATTTTAATCACGCTACTTTATTTTCGCACAACGGAACAATTTTCTTGCGAATCTGAGCGATCTGTCGAAGGTGAACGATTATTGTATGACGAAACGCGTGAAATTTTTATTCTTGTTCTTAGTAGTTTAGTCATTCAGTAATTTAGCTGATTGTAGATAATAAGTATACACGTCGCATCAGGAACAACACGTGCGTTTACGAATCGATTAACTTCGCAGGCTATTGTGAAAATCGATCGAATCGGTCATTGAATCGCGATGACTAATAAAATGTCAACAATTACGCAAAAGTAGAACCACCTGACACGAGCTGCTCGTATTCAATCTCCGCAAGATTTGCTCCGACAAGGAAACTCTCAGATTCGAGATAAGTTACACAACAATCGCGGAAAACAGAAACCTGATCGCCGCTCGAAGATGTGCTCCCGTGTCGAATTTGATTCATCATCTGCAGATCAGTGTCAGATGAATCAGACTATTCAGCCCTTTCGCGAACTCAAATAGTCTGAATCTGTCGAAGGCAGATTTTGCAAAGCTAAAAAATGTCGTCGGTGGAGATTTTATGGAATCTGCCAACAAAATGTGACGCGACGAAAGCGAGAAGAATTCTGTCATTTAATCACATGAATGAAGTATCCCGTAAATGATGATGAAATAATAGATTATGTTCTGCTGTCAGTCTGCTGTCAGATTATGTCAACAGTTGTTCCATGTGGAACTAAGTTTATTGCGGTGGACGCCCGGTCTGGTGAATATCTGATCGAATGCCGCTGGCATGTCGCTAACATTTTACTCACTGGGAAGAAATTGTTATCTCATGCATAACGAGCGCGAGACATTCAATCGCGGTATGACCACACGCAGCTATTCCGTTTATTCCGTTTATGCGCGAATATGCGCACGGCGCGATTCACGGGTCGTGACACGCGATAGCAAAGATGTTGACACGTTCGTTTCAACGTTATCATCCGGCGAAAATTCTCGATGGTCGGGGGCGGGAAAATGCGATCAGCATCCACACGATCATCCCGTTCTCCGGACTAATCGGTGTTTCGTTTTCGTGTTTCAGGCCACGAAAAGTGTATGTTCCATCACGATTTGGAGTTGGACCATCAACCACCCACGCGAGAGGCAATGATACCTGAAATGTCCCGAAGTTATAAGCTACTCCTGAGCTCGCTGGGAGAAGATCCGGAACGACAGGGACTTTTGAAAACGCCGGAACGCGCTGCGAAGGCCATGCTCTTCTTCACCAAAGGATACGATCAGAGTCTTGAAGGCAAGTTATTATCGTTATTATTATCGCTATTGGCTATAGGATAAAGAGATCCAAGAACCTCTCTGTCCTGCAGCCAATTAACACGCTTAAAAAATTTGTCGTACGACAGAAAACGGACAAATGTAATAGCAGTACCCTAACTTTAGTACCAGCTTTAACTTTTGACAAAAAAAGACTCGAAATGAAAATAAAAAATATTTCTTCATTTACTGTCCGATTTGACGTATGAATTATCCATATTTTCAGGTTCGAAAAATTTAAATTTTGAGTATGAAGTTTGAATGATTTAATTTTTTTTTAAAGAGATTTTGTGCACAAAAATATGTTTGAAATTTAATCTAATAAAAATAAACGTTATACAATAAATATCTAATTTGAAAATGTTTACAACGGTTGCAAATAATGGATTAATATCAATTGCGAATTTTAAAATGACTTACAATTAGTGCATCAATAATCATATTTCGATCTTATTTAGATTTAATTTTATTGAGAAAATTTTGAATAAACATCACTTATATATTAACCAAAAAAAGAAATGGCTACAAAATATGAAAAATTCTTAAAGTTCACAATTAATCGCTCTTGCATAATACGTTCAACTGAAAAAAAAGAAGTAAAAGTCGGAATTGTTAGTATAACGTTTATTAGAATTATTTAAACTGCTCTCCTTTCCAATCGGCACTGGAAATGTTGCAAAACTAATATGTATACTTGCGGATATATGTGCGTAGAAAAAAAAAAAGAGAAAATAGTGCAGCCTTGATTTGACGGTCAGCCAACGCAAGGTTGCGCTCGAAGATCCGTGTAGTATAAATTTTTCAAGCGGCAATTATATGCGATTACGATCCATCGTTTATTGCTTAACGGTAATGGCTACCGATTGCCCGACAGCTGTCGTTTCTGCAAAATTTGGTTTCTTAATTACTATTACGATCGCGGATCGTTACGACGTTTTGGATCATTTTGTGACCGGGATTATTGAAACAGCCGTTTCCTGAAAACAGTGCTCTTGACTTGGACATCGAAAAAGATATATTTATAGTCGAAAAAGATATATTTGAGGCTGCGTTCGAGGAATGCGCTATCAATGTCATTTTATCTTTATCGTGAAAATATGTAACGTAAGACAAAGACAGAATGATGTAATAGTGCTGATAGCTAGCGTATTTCTCAAACGCGACCTAAATATAGATTGAAATGTATAATATTCGTGCCGCCGTTGCATTATAACGTCGGGAAAAATTTTTTTGACCTTGTTTAGAATTCTTTGAGACATACGTTAATATTAATCACATTAACAGTGCGCAATAAATACATAAAATATCAAACGAGTTTTTTAAATAGCTTCAAATCACGAAAGAGAAAGATAGAGTCATTATTAATTGAAAATTGAAAAAATCCGGAACACATTAAACCTTTCATGATGGATACATAGGCATAGAGTAACTACAGTAAAACCAAGGGTACAATTTGCCAAGATAATAAAGTAATTAGAAAATCGTCGCCTAATTTAACCAGATTTCTGTTTTCGTGAATAATATAACGCGGAATTACAAAGGCGCGCCTGTTCTCTGTGAAAGTACCATACTTTTCGATCTTTTTTCTACTTTTAACTTGCTCTCTATCGCAAGCAGAATGAGGAAACGGAGGAGAGAAAAAGAATGGGACGCCGAGGGGGCGAGAGGGTGGAACTTAAGTGCGACTCGTAGAAAAGAGAGCGTAAAGCTCTTGGTATAAATGGGGTTCTCAGGGACGCACGAGGCACAACTTGAAAGGAAAATCCCCTTCATCTCCTTCTTCTGCTTCTTCTTTTTCCGCGTATCACATCCAATATAAATGTCACGATGCTTGAACAATTACGTGGTTTGCGGAGATTCGGAGAAAAATTCGCGCGTAAAGAAGTTGGTACCGAGAACAAACTCTTTTTCTTGTTTGACAATTTCGTTCTCACGATTTACGTGTACCTAAAGGAATTCAGCACGATATGTTAAATAGCACAAATCTATCGTTTATTGTAATGTCTCTAAAAATATATTCACAATCAAATATGCATTTGCACACTTTTAGCTTAGATATTAATTTGCAGCGAATAACATATATATGCTTGCTTTCTGTTGATGATATAATTATAACAATGTAATAAAAATTCTTTAACAAGAGAGATAAAAAATTAATTCGTGCATTAAATCTTTAATAAATTGACACGAGAACATTTTCTTTTGTATCGATTTTCTCATTATATTTTATCGAGTTTTATTTATTACTCGATGATCCGAGAATTATTTTCTTTATTTTCATTTTGAATTTGCGTTGAGCTGATTTTCTCGAATCGCTCGTAATAATCAAGTATCGTTCTAACGATTCTACCTGAAACTAGGTACACTTGTAGGTGATGGATGGGGAACTTTAATTCACTTCGGCTTAGCTTGAACAACGGAAAGACCCTCGAGATAAGCTCTCACGGTTAACGCGGCGGTACAGATGCGGCCCGGTGAATCTGAAACGAGAGGCACTTTACGAAAGCTCGACCACTCTCACCGAATCATTCCTTTACGCGGACAATTCCACTTGTGGCTCTTATCTCGCCCACTCTACGCTCGTCCGAATTCCTAACAAGTCAAGATTTATATTTGAACATACATATATATTTTTTTTATCAATAAATTCTGTGAGGTTTTTAACGCGACGGAATTTTGAAAACGCCGTACACGCGTTGCAGCATAAAAGTTAATCGAATTTTTTCGATTTTTTTCGATCACGTTTAAGCCACCGGGTCAAAAAATCGAACTCTATTACAGTTGGAGACCATCCACTAGCGCGAGACCACAAGAGGAAAGGAAATTGCTTCACTTTCACGTGTGACGAGAGCAACTGACCCATCCTCTGACGGTGTATTTCCGGAGAATTAAATATCGCACGGAATTCAATTGTACTTTAGGAGAAATATACGAGAAACGCATGTTTCTGTTAATGAGTTTATGTTGGAAGCTGGAAGCTATTCCATGATTATACGTAGAATTTAATAAGTTAGATATTTTGATTAGCCTTGTTTATTGTCGTTTGGAAAGTTCAAGCTCGATTACGGTCGGTTAGGCGAATCCGTTTCATTCATCGTTGTCGGTCATTGCGAGGGTGTTTCTTGTTAAGGTTGCCGTGGAAACGGTGCGGAGAGCACCACCATTATCTAGTGGCAGATACGTACCGTCCATGCGTACGTATACACTACCACTAGGATCCATGGTGCAGTAAGTAGGTCAATATCGAATAAATCACAGCCAGGATAACCTACCCGCTAAAACGAAAGAACACTTCTTTCGCGAAATAATGCTCTCAGCTGTTCTCGTATATCATTAAATTAAAAGGATCGTCAAAAGATCTCGATATATCTTATCACGTTACATGCGAAATACAATTTCAATTAATTCGTGAAACTCGTTGGGAATTCTTATTTGTTGACGAGATCGTTACATATGACTAACGAATTTAACGAATAAAACATTGACGGTTACAGACGTAATTAACGACGCAGTATTCGACGAGGATCATGATGAGATGGTGGTGGTCAAAGACATAGAAATGTTTTCCATGTGCGAACACCATTTGGTACCGTTCTACGGCAAGGTGTCGATCGGTTACCTTCCTTGTAAGAAGATACTGGGCCTCAGCAAACTTGCCAGGTAATTACTTTAAAAGTTAATTAATCTTGTTAAATTTCGATTGTCGAGTTTTTAAATCGCGATTAAAATCGTAAGTTGTTATTTCACTTCACTTTTCGGGCAATTCTATGTTTTAATGATATAGTCTTCAGTTTTAATTCAAATAAAATGTTTGTATAATATAAAATTTTTTTCTTTTTCAAAGCGTAATATTGCGCGGCGAATTGTGAAGTAAATCAAAAAAGAGGAAATTCCGACCGTGTCTTTTATTCACCGGAATTCGCGATTTACGGTCGACGCCTCGGCAGTTTCGTCGAGTTGCACGTCCACTAGTCCTGGCCTTGATCAGTGACATATTAATGCGAAAAGAAAGAATATGACGAGACTGGTCTCCTAAGACCGTACACACTTTCACGCGCGTAGCGGCCCGGGGTCTCCGTTTACTCGTTAAACGCCCGCTTAAAAGCGAAGTAAACGGTCAATAATGGAAACAGGATTAATGGAATTCCAGTGATTGTCCAAATGACCGTGTACTTTAAAACCGTTAACTTTTTTCCCCCCTAAGTTTTGTAGGCATTCTTCTGGATAATGGATTTCGAAAAAAATAATATTTGCATGCACTCGGCCTCGATTTTAACATCGGATTTCTCGGTGGTTTTTAAATTGAGAAAAGAATTTCCTGTTTGCAGAATCGTGGAGATCTTCAGCAGACGACTTCAGGTGCAGGAGCGACTCACGAAGCAAATCGCGATAGCAGTCACAAAAGCTGTGCAGCCTGCAGGAGTTGCCGTCGTGGTGGAGGGAGTGTACGTAAAATTTTATATCTAATACATCTCAAAATTTGAATCACTTTAATTACGTGAATAACGAAGCGATCTTTTTGTTTGAATGTAGTGAAACCATTGAAAACGAAACGAACCGTGATAAATACAAAATTTACAAAAAGTAATGTAAAGGCATCGAACACGAAAATAATTAGAATTGCTATGAAATAATTGCAAAAATCTTGCAATAACATATATGTATACGGATGATTCTCAATGAATATGTCAATAATTCGGACTGCATTGCGATGTAGTGCTATAGTTGGCCAGTTAAGACCGCTTTCCTTTCAATCAGCGGCTATGCGGCTCGTGGAATAGTTTTCGCAAGTGGAACGATCGCGAAGGAACACAACCTTGTACCGCCGTGCGAACGTTGTACATAATTAAAGCATTCACGTAACGATCCGGTTGTTTGTTACACGACGTATGCATTAGCGCGACCGATAAATCTCGGGCGGGGGTGCACATGAGTGCCAGCTTGACAATCTGCAGCCGGGGTTATTAATCGTCGCGTGTGATTAATATGGAAAAAACGCGAGCACGCCCGATGCAATCGTGAATAATTCAAGAAGACAACGCCACGTGCGCGATTTAATTTACAGTTGCGTTTCCCGAGATTTATCGGTGATAATCGGAGTATCTCCCGGATTCGCGCAAATAGCTCGTAACGCTATTGCCAAAGATTCATCTTCGTCCCCGGCATATCGTGCAGGTTATTTTTGTCATCTTGTCGCACGAGTGATGCTATTATCGGCATTATTTTCGCATGCACCGGCGCTATTTTTACTGGTCTCCCGCGCACGAATAATTCATAACACCTATACCTTGCCGCCGTCGAGCCGCCCGATTTATCCCGCGAGGAGTGATAAACCGATAATTAATAACTCCTAATGCGATGCTATTCTCGCGAGGATCGATGCTATTCTCGTCGCGGTCTGCACAAATAATTTATAGACGCGACTTTTCCGCTCGACTCGTCATCCTTGCGGTGCGCCGCAAGGATGAATAACTAAATAAGTCAATTTATTCTACGAAAATGATAAACCGATAACAGACCAGAGCTATTAGTCATGGGACTATTACCACCACGAGCGATACGCGGTCGTCGGGTTACGACATCGGGACACGCGTGTTTCCCCAAGCTGGAGAACCCGACTCGTGATACGATACGCATTAGTTAATCAAATCTTCTCGCTCGCGAATTGATAAGATCTATCTCTCGACGCGAAGGCAATAAATCGAAGGCGCGGATCCAAAGATATCTGTAATACGAGCTCTAACGGTACGATTTTTTTAAAGCAATTTTCTTATCACGATTTTAATTTACACGCACGCACCCACTGTGGACGGGAAAGGAAAAAAATTCTTTTACATACGTTGCAGGCACATGTGCATGGTGATGAGGGGCGTGCAGAAGATCAACAGCAAGACAGTGACCTCGACGATGCTAGGCGTGTTCCGGGACGATCCGAAGACTCGCGAGGAGTTCCTGAATCTCGTGCACAATAAATAAACGGTCGAGTCTCGTCGCGGTGTCATTATCGTTGGCCATCGTGGGACCACTAGATTTCAATGCGTGACACCCCGACTGCTCTCCGACATCCGACCGCTACCTCGTTGCGAAGCCCTCGCCCGTAGGGCTTCGGGATCGTCGTCATTGCCGTCGTGGTCACCGCGCAAATCCCTCCCGCGTACATTCCGTTTATTTCTCCTCGACGACGGTTCCACGTACCTCTTTATCGTAAATGCGATTGGGAAAGCCCATGGGCGATTGCTTTCCGGGACCAAGATAGCGGATGGGGGAGACGATGTTCGACGCGCGTCCTGCGCTGATTATAAGGACGCGCTCAAACTGCTGATCGAGTGACACTGACAATAGCGATGACTATGACGCGTCATGGTCATCCGCGAAGACGTCTGCACGTCTCGGAATGATGCTGACGCGGATGACTCGTAAATGATTTGATGTTCGCGTCGCGACGAGGACGACGAGCGACGCATTCCGGCAGGAAGGAACAGCGAAAAAAAATAACGGTATAATAATCCAAGGACGAATTATTCAATGCGATAAAACGTCTGTGGAAACGGAAAGTTGCTGCTGGATCAGTGACAATCCTATCGTAAAGGGTCCACATTCGCTGCGCCTTTGGCCGAGCGAGTTCGTCGCTCGAGGAGCTTTTTAGGAAATTTTTCAACGAAGGTTGCTCCCGTCGATCGCAAATGACACAGTCGACGCGATTTCTCATGACAATAAATTGTACATTCCGTAGATTAGTGAATTTTTTTAAAGAGATCGCACTCGACTTCTTCGTTCGTTTGCGTCGACCGTACGAGCTTTCGGGATTCACAGTTTTACGTCGTGTCTTCCGCGATATTCGACGTTTTAGCGCGCATACTTTCCGCCGCTGCGAAATTCGACAGCCACGGATTTTGCATTGCGGCTGATTTGCGTCACGTGATGACCTACTTTTATTCGCCACGTTTAGTATTCGTTAATAGGCGCATTTTGTTATTAAGAAAATTGAAACAATATTGCCAAAAATTAATCCAATGCCACGTCCTTCCCGCAGCTCTTTTAAACTTCTAAATTAAATATCTCGATTCAAGTCAAAATGCATCGAAATATACACTTCGAGGTCACTAAAAAATAACGTTTCGTTATATATTTGCAATTCTGAAACATAATTGATCAAAGAATTTTCTCTTAATTAATTAAAAATCCAAAAACATTCGCGCATCTTAATAGTTTTATTTAGGAAGAATTATTTCAAATCCACTTATTACTGGATGTTACATATTGTTCTTCTCTAATGAATGACCTCGATTTAGTTTGATTTCATTTTAAGAGAACTCATGAAAAAAAATGTCGCGAAATGCGCACTGCTTCAGCCATGCAATGCGCATCGTGACGAGCTTTGAAAAACATTGTTTTCAAAGTACACACACCGCATTTGCCTACCCATTCGTCGAGATGTTTCCCAGGGAAAGTAAAATGGTCCACCCTCGGAGATTCATTCTCGAGCATCACGCAATGCATATCATTAAGCTAGAGTTAATTCACTTTTTCGTATTCTACATTAGAGTGAAGATATTATTATCGCGAATTTATTTTTTATATAAGCGTCGTTAGATCCATGCGATTACAAGAGATATCTATTTTATTTGGGAGTGTGAAAATTTACATAGAAGATGTTACCTCTGTTGCACTTTAATTTTTCGCGTACTTGCGGCTAGTCCACGAGTATCGCGCCTCACATCGTGATTTTTACTGATATTTTAACGATATAATATAAGATAAGTTTATTAATAGGCACAGTTTATTGAGTACATCGATTTCTGTTAAAGTATGTGATTCAAAACTTCCTGCCTCAACAGACTGAAGTGACAGAACTTCGGTATATTCTCCGATTATACTTTCTGAACGTGAAAGGCTGGAGAGAGCTGTTCAAATTATACTTACGAAAGTAAACGTTCAATATTTGTAATATTTTTCTGACGATATTATATAAAAAGTTATATTTATATTTTCAACGACAGGACATTACTTGTTTCCACTTTTACCTCTTTCCTCACACATAAACCTCTTTCCACACGCATAAAAATAATAGGAACAAGTATTCAACGTTTCAAAAACATATTGCACAATTTAAAATATTTCCCGATCCATTTTTTTTTCCCATAATAATTTAATGTAATGTGTACGTCGCTGAATTGTCATGCAACATGTTTTCAGAGACTTTAGGCGATAATCGGTCAAGTATTCGTTAATGGCCTAATCGCGGCACTTTGACCTACACGCACAAACACCAGGTAACGCGTGTTGCGCTGTTGCATGATATATAATTCTTCTCGCGAAATACCGTCCCCAACCCAAATTCCATATTTGTCACTCGTAGACCTCGTGTCTGTTCCCGCTGAAATAGCTCACTCGTATCCAAAGAATCACGCGTTTCTTGCACGCGTTAATTACTATAACTTAATGACGGAAGGAGAATAGAATCATCGAGAGTTAACGCGAGACTACGCGACGGTATCGAAAAAACAAGCGAAATTAATCAATTCCGTGCCTTGCATCTTACGTTTCAAGATCGTTACAGCTTTTATTTTGAGTTCTACATATTTGGTCATTTCGAAACGTCAATAAAATACACAGCATGTGTAAAAAAAATTAAGAAATCCCGCTATAATATCGGTATAGAAAAAGAACAAGAATATGAACAAAGCTGAACAAAATTAACAAATTTAGCATATTCTCTATTCTGATACCGTTTTTTCTAGATATTCTCTGTATCTATTTTTTTTTTTAGTCATCGACAATCTACCAGTGAATGAGCATCACTCAAATTATTATATCCCAAATCTCGGCAATGGTGGTATCTCGATCTTCTTTATAATCGTCGAATCACATACCTCATCTGGAGTGTTCAGATTCCTCGCGTCACCCTGACGAAGGAGAAACATCATGTCGTCATCCGTGGACTTTCGATTTCTATTGATGAAGCAGCAAGGAGAAGGCCGCTTCGTCGTGCAATCAATTTGATCAACGTTCTGCGTGTCGTACGATAATTTGGCACTGATCGTCGCGGCAACGGATCCTGGGTGCTTCTTCGTGCTTTTGCCAGGACATGGTACAACGGGTTCGCTATCATTAAAAAATTGATTATATAGCACAACACCAAGCTGATTCCCGATGACAATTTTCTGACTTAAGAGCTTATAATTGGCACAATTATTGATGAAGCAATTTGAAATTTACGGTGGAATAATCTTTGGAGTTGTCGGACACGGTACGCAAGGAGTGTAGCAAGGTATCGGTGGGCAGCGTAGGACTCTCAGTGCCTCGACGTTTAAGCACGACACCCCTCGCAGTAGCGCCCGCTGAATCGCGCACTCATACTCAGCTCGCTCCTTCATCACTTTGTCGTATTTCTTCCGCATCCGCCTGATTTCAGACTCGAGCTACCAAAACGAAGCATTAATTATACGCTAACGATAACGAATAGATAGAAAAACATAACTTATATAAATACAACGATATGTCGCAATCGCTTTTTCTTTTTACGAAAAGTTCTACCTCGGATTCTCGTTTCGTTCTCTCCTGCGGAGAGATAACGGTCTGGACCATTGCACTTGTGTAAGTGCCGTCTCTCATCTCTCTTTCGTAGTCTCGCCTTTTCAGCAATTCTTCCTCATCTTCGTCAATCCTCTCAATTTTTCGATCGACAGCTCTTTCTTTGTCCTTTTCGTCCTCTTTATCGATCCGATCGACAGCTTCCGCTGCTTGAACGTCTTTTTCATCTTCTTCATCGGCAATTCGCACTGCATCCTTCCTTGCATTAATTTTTTTAATTCTATTAATTTCCTTAGTAATTTCTGCTTTTACGTCTTCTTTATCTTTATCAACAGCTCGCACTGCATCCTTTCTTGTATTAATTTTTTTAATTCTATTAATTTCCTTAGCAATTTCTGCTTTTACGTCTTCTTTATCTTCATCAACAGCTCGCACTGCGTCCTTTATTGCATTTATTTCATTAACTTTTATAATTTCTTTAGCATTCGCATAAACTTTTGCAGTTTCCACAACGGGTTGATCCTATTTTTAATGTAAGATGATATGAGATCATACACCATTACCAGTTTAATGTAATTCTTTAATTATTTATAATATTATCAGAATTTTTTTAAATATTATTTTATATATCATTTTTTTAATGCTTAAATTAAATTGAATTATTTAATCTATTTAGTCCTCTTATTCTACTTTTCATTATATTAATAATAAATCTTACTTCGCGTTTAATGATTGGTTCTCTTTCTTTCCGATCCTCTGCAATCTGAACTTTAAGAGTTTCCAGTTCGCGCGTTTTAACATCAATTTCGCATGCACGAGCTAACAGTTCCTTACGAAGTTCATCGACTTCGCTTTTGCAGACGTCGAGCTTATTCTGTGCAATACCGGACCATTGTTTGATTCGACTCAGGACATCGACGAACATCAGCTTTTAAGAAAAGGAATGAAATTAGTAAACTCTTCGAAGCAATTATTTTTAGACAGTGGACGTGTTTGCAGAATTATTCAGAGAATAAAATAAATAAATAAAATTGTGCAATTAATAATGTCTATTGGTAACAAATAAAAAGAATTTGAGATTAAAGATCCCTGAATTTGTAAAGATATTTTAGTTTTCGGAGAAAGAATTTTTCTTCACATTAAACGTCGTCGTAAGACGCAAAAAAATACGGGTTGTCAGTTGTACCCTCGCCTCTTTCGCCTTCGAGACGTCGAGACAGTTTTACGACATTCTAGTTGAATGTGGGGCTCAACCTTTAAATCGTGCTCGAAGTTCTCGCCCAGAGATGCTAAAGCTTTGCCAGCTTCCTGGAGATTTTGGTGCACGTATTCGATTATTTCATTTACTTTTCTGTCCCTGCCGGCGAATAATACAAAACAATAATAATATTCATTTCTGTTTGCATAAAGCCAGAGTTCAATAATGTTATAAAAATAAAGAATGTATATATATATGATTAGAAATGTAAGTGTTCATCCTACATTCTATAATCAATAATTCAAAATTTGTTCTAAGACGCTGTTAGAGACTCAAATAAACACATAAAGATTTAAATAATTATATATTTTTAAGCACATGTATATACATGTGTCATTCAATATTAGCTCGTATCGAATTTCTCGGATCAAATTTCTATCCAATTTTTTTTTAAGCAAAACAGAAATAATTTATTAAGATAAAAACATAATTGATCAGTTCACCCGATTGTTTGCGGAGTACAGACGCAACACGGGCCACTTGCGGGAAGAAGTTGCTTATTTTGAGAATTCTCTTCTAGCTGCGTGGATTTCTCTACAGATTTTTCTATCGGGAAAGATGGTAGCGTCGATGGGATTGAAGGAGAAAGTGAAGGAAGATTCGGCACTTCCTGGAGAGATTCAGGTGATGGATCTTTGGCAGGAATTTCTTCAACGGTAGGCTCTTCGTCCGCACCACCCACGAGACGATTAGGCGAATTAATCTTACAGGCGACTACGGGCATCGATCTTTGATAATTTAGCAATTTATTCGATGACTCTCGACGTTCACTGATTGTGAGACCTGGAGAAAAATCAGATAAATAAAAAATATTCTGGTTGAAAGGAGAAATATATCTCTCGGCTTACCGCTCTTAGATACATTTGGATGTGTGTGCTGCATAATGACTTCGATTACGGAAAATCAACTTGTGTTTTTTTTTTAATTCATTATATAAGTATCGTTTTTCTTATACATTTGAAATCTTTAATATATTTGTCAAATTGTGTACGCACGAGTGTAAAAATTGAAACGGAAATAATATAAAATTATTTTTTGTATTATAAATTATTCAAGAAAAATAAAGTAACGATGGACTTGTCAATTTAAATAAAACTGGCCTGAACTTTGCAGATTATCGATTAACACGAAAACTCCTTGCCACGGTTCATTTTCTCTCTTTTTCTTTTCAACAAATTTAAAAATCCTGAATTAATATATGCGGCAATAAGTAAAAAGTAAATTATTAATTTTAATTAATTTCCGTTTCAGAAATAACCAAACTATACAAATATTTAGGAAATCGAAAATCTTAAAAGTAATTGAAAATTTGAAGACAGTGCAATACAACAAATATTAAATTGATACTTATATTATGTCAAAAAGAATTTTAAAAATTACAATTATAGCATCATCTATTCTATTATAATACATATTGATATGAGTACCAGTAAAATGTAATTAATGTTTAATTTTAAGAGTCTATAAAGAAATTATGATCTACAAATTGACTAAGTGAAACCAGTGATTTTTATTGATTATGGTGGCACTCTCTTATAAAATAGGCGAAGATCTAATAGTTCTACGGTATTAATAGAATAATAGAATAAATGATGTAACATCATTAAATTCCTAACAAGTTAAATTTTACAGTTTAATTCGTTGTATATCACTGAAAATATTCTTTACTGAAAATAATGAATGTCTCAATACAAATACATATATAGAAAGAAATCATGCTTACAGTGGAATTGTCCCATCAAACAGGGAGAGATTTAGTTAATGTTGCTAAAAGAATGTCTTTTCTCTGTTTATACCACTTTTAATAATTTCAATAATAACCAAGAATTTACCTTCCGGATTAAAATCACAAATGTACGAGAATAATTTTATATAAGATCACATGTATATATGTATATAAGTGTGTGTATGTATATTGTATATACATGTAAATACATATATTTCAATATTATATATATATTATATATGTCAAATTTTATATTTATCAAAGCGCCTGTATCATATTTTTTTTATTGTTGATATATCTCTTATCACGTTTTTTTATCCACATAAAAATATAATAATGTTCTATCAATTTAACTTCGAGTCATATATTTCTAGCTTCACAAGCGAAATCCAAGTACAATATGTATATATATATATATATATATATATATATATATATATATATATATCAATTGTAATACATATATGTATGCTAACGTATGTCGCTTTATAAAATTGTTCTCTTGCAACAGTGTTATTTTAAAAGTGAAGTTTTGCAATACTATCTAAATTTTATTAAAAACAATATAAACAGGAAAGCGAAAAGACAAACATTACAATAATCTTCACTATTTTCAATAAGTAATCTTATATTATACGTATCTATATACATAATTTTAGGCTTTTTTCGGCGGTGGCCTATAAACGCCGACCACAACGGCGTGATCTCTCTCATATGGTTCGAGCGTGATCTGCTCCTGCGGTTTCAAATTATCAGCAATTAACTTTTTCACTTCCGCCGCAAACACCGCTTCAGGCGCAGCGAGTGAATCTATGCAACTTGCCTGAAATAAGTAATTAAATACAAATACAAATTAAAGTCGAATAATTAAGTAATTTACTACCTAAAAATTATTATACGATTATTAAGTTATACTTTAAAACATTTAAATAAATACATACTTTACAATCGTAGTTTAAACGTAAATATCGTAAATATCGCACCTTAATAGAGATGACAAAGTGTCCTTCGTTCTTGAGGAAATTCTGCGCATTTAGCGCGACAATTCTCGCCTGGTCTGGCTGTGCGACGTCTGAGAATATAGTGTCTACCATCCCTACAAGCATTCTATACTTGTGAGGATGTCTCGCGTCCTCAACTATAGGTATAATGTTACTCCTTTTTTTAGCAACATCAATTAAGTCTCTTCCTGTTCGATGGGAAAATTCCACGGCAAAGACAATTCCTTCCTGTATATAAAAATATTGATATATTTATTCTCGACTGTAAATTAACATTTAGATGCGTTCTTATATCAGTATAGACTCTGTACGCACGTTTTTTTTTAGAGCAAAGTCTCTTACTCATTCCAGAAAAACGTGTAATTGTTTTAGCATCACTTCGACACCAAATTCGCAAGTGCAAGCTAACTTGGCTCTAATGTGTGCATAAATTATATTTCTCATTCCAAAATGCAATAGAGATTCCCATAAATTATGCTTACCGGACCAATTATATCGGCGACATGAGACACGGTGGTACCCGACGCTGCGCCCAGATACAATATTTTGCTTCCACGAGGCATGTAGATTTTATCGACGCCTCCGAGAATGGCGGCGGATAACTTGGATCGAAATGGGTTCCACACCCTGTACTCAATCTTCTCGCCCTTTTCGTCGGAATTCTCAGGCTGCAATATATACATAATTTTATTAATTCACATGGACAAAATTAAAAAATAAAAATTGTTACAGGGTCCAAGCTGCGTTTACCTCAACGCTAATTCTTTTTTCTCCATACACCGCTACTCCAGGCACCAAGCTCAAGGTCACTAAGGCATCTTCCTTCCCTCGAGCTATAAACACTCCCTCGTGGCGATGCGGCTCTATTATGACATTTTTACCGCCTTTAAAACCTCCTCCACCTCCTCCTCTTCCCCCTCGGCCGCCGCCTCGTCCCCCACGTGGAGTACCACCTCTTCCACCAAATCCACCTCTTCCACCAAATCCACCTCTTCCACCAAATCCACCTCTGTCACCTCCACGACCATCACCGAAACTCCGTCTACCTCCATCATGATCACCACCACCACGACCTCCACCGCGACCACCTCCACGGCCTCCTCCTCTATTACCTGGTGAAAACGCTGCAATTTGAAAAAAACATTAGTAATGAAAAAATAATATAGTAAATATTGTATTTGATGTGCTCTATGTTTGTTGGATTAAAATTAAGATATAAATATGAATTGTTTACTTTCATATTTCAGAGAAAAAAAATTTATTTGCAAACAATGCCGTGTATTTTGAGGTGTTTATTTTAATATACATTTTATGCATGTGTAATGTTCGTTTTCAAATGTTAAATTTTTCGTATTATGGCACATAAAATTAGAAACTATTCTAATGCGAAATTATGAATCGTCGAAAATACATTTTACTTTCAATTCTTCAAAGGTACACAAATAATAAAAGATAACGCATAGTGCGTGTGTAACGCATCATGCTTGTGATCGTTAGGTTAACAAGTTGGTGCCACGCGGCCGGCGAACAGGTATTCATCGCCTAACATAAACATGTATTTACGGCCGTCGCGAACGCTGCCGAGGACAGCTACAAATCGAAATTCTGGGAAATTAAGCCGCGATATCGGATTCCTGACCTGACGCGCGCCAAATCGAAAAGAGAGTACTTTTGTCCGCCGAGGTTAGGTTGCCTCTACGGCAAGAAAAGACCGGCTTGCCGACGAGCCGTTCGATAGGATCTCTCTTACGAGATAGATAAATCGGGACGGAAATGTGCAAGCGTTCGCGTTACCTGGTCTACCCATAATGAGTTATATGCACGCGTTCGGCTACTCTTCGTCACGAAATTACTCCCGACGTTTATCCACGAGCACGTGCGTTCAACATGGAGAATTTCGAAAGGAAATTCGGCCAGTGAACAGTAACGCCAGAGAGAAATGCGCCAAAATGGCTCATGCGACTCATGCAGCAGCGGGCGTTTAGGTTTCCTACACTTTTTCACGATTTATGTTGGCTGCCCTTTTTACAATCAGGATAGGCAACCGAAATTGACCAAAGATCCGCGGATCTAGGAAATTTCGGAGTGTCACTTCGGTCGCCTATCCTGGGTGTAAAAAGGGCAGCCAACATAAATCTCGTCGTGAAAAAGTGAGAAGGATCTAGGAAATTTCGGAGTGTCACTTCGGTCGCCTATCCTGAGTGTAAAAAGAGCAGCCAACATAAATCTCGTCGTGAAACTTTTGCCGGTGTTGCGAAAAACGCCGGGATTGGCCGCCTCTCATGGCTTCTCACTTTTTCACGACGAGATTTATGTTGGCTGCCCTTTTTGCAATCAGAATAGGCAACCGAAAGTTGACTGAAGATCCGCGAATCTAGGAAATTTCGGAGTATCACTTCCGGTCAACTTCGGTTGGCTATCCTGAATGCAAAAAGGGCAGCCAACATAAATCTCGTGAAAAAGTGAGTAGCATGAGAGCGGAATGCCTACATAAACGCGCGCTTTTAGATTTTAGGTTAGTCGTAGAAGCGGTGCGATGAGTGCGATGTTTATGTGTAACCTAACCCTAACTTGAGACACATCAGAACGCGTTTTTTCGAATACATTTTTAAAATAAATATATTTATTAGGTTGAAATATGTATTACAGCCTGTAAATATAAATGTTATACATACGTGACAGCGCAAACACGACAATATGAAGTAAGTGCGAGCGTTACGTCGAACGAAATGTTTCGCCTGCCTCACTTTTATCCACATTGCTTGCATCTACATTTCTGTTATAGGATAAGCGTTGACGGACTGATTGTATATTTTCCGTACGATTATATTTATCCCGAGCAATATGCGTACATGCTCGAGCTCAAACGTGGCCTGGATGCCAAGGTATCTATCTCTCTATAACCCTTGATTCACCTCACTGATAATGTCACCTCGAATATTGTGACATTAAATAAAAATTGCGCGTTTCAGGGCCACTGTCTGTTGGAGATGCCTTCAGGCACTGGCAAAACGATAACTTTGTTATCGCTTATCGTGGCGTATATGCTGGAGCATCCATTGGATGTGACCAAGTTGATTTACTGTTCTCGGACAGTGCCGGAGATAGAGAAGGTTATAGAGGAGTTAAAGAAGCTCATTGACTATTATGAGAATGAAACCAAAACTAATCCAAAAATTATCGGCCTAGTTCTTAGCTCGCGCAAAAATATGTGCATTCATCCTGAGGTAAACAGAGCGCTTGTAAAACTATACGCTTATAAAACTGATTGTTGTAGTTGCGTATTAATTGTGCTATTGCATGTAGGTCAGTAGAGAGCGAGAAGGTAAAATTGTGGACGGCCGTTGTCATTCTCTCACCGCGTCGTACGTACGAGAAAGACACAATTATGACGAATCCACTCCGATTTGTAATTTTTACGAAGGATTTGATATGGAGGGCAGGGAGCTAATCATCCCTTCTGGTATTTATTCCATCGACGATTTGAAAGAATATGGGAGAGATCGTAACTGGTGTCCATATTTCCTTGCCAGATATACAGTAAGAACGTCATAAATTCTTTTACCTGTGCTTATGAATTTAAATGATAAGCAGACGTAAAATCGATGTTTTAACACTTTCAGATCTTACATGCACAGATTGTAGTGTACAGCTATCATTATTTATTGGATCCAAAGATTGCAGAGACTGTATCCAAAGAGCTAAGCAGGAGTTCAGTAGTTGTCTT